CTTTTCAAGCTTAAGATTGTTGACATTGAATTTTCTTTTTAATGTGAAGCCAATATTTTATAATTACTGATTTGTTAAATTAAATTTGTAAATAAGAGTTAGGTGTTAAACAGCTGATAACGCGTGATTTGATTAGACACCACAATACCTACGACAAAGTCGGCGTGTTTAAATGGTGTGAATCAAAATATGTATTAACAATAATTTAAAGATCATAAATAAACTTAGTTTAATTTGCACTCGCACGGCGTTGTCGTTTTAAAACATTTTCAAAATGTCCACCGCCTTGTTCAATGCACTTTAATGACCGTTTTCGCAATTGTGGTTTTATTTTAGATAATACTGCAGTGTCACTTTTCACTTATACAAAGGCGGTTATTATCTTATTTTTTAGTTCCTTGACACTTGTTGTCTCTGTGTTATAAACTAGCGATTTAATTCAACCCCACAAAAAAAGTCGAGTCGCGTCAAATCAGCTGATCTAGGAGGTCAATGGACACGTGCGTAGGTATTTGATGTGTGCCGGCTGTCGCTGTGCGTGCGTAGATATTTGTAAAATACTATTTTAGACTTGAAACAAGTATCAGTCTTCTTTAATTGAAAGATGATTACTAATTTAATATTTCATTTTAAAAATTAATACTCTGTCTTACGATCCATTTTCGTTTCAATGAAGTGTTTAGATAACACAGTTATCTGTAGGATGACTGTAATTTACTTAGCTCTATCTAAATTTGAGAAAAAAATGACCTACATAAAAAATTATAAAAATCGATCCAGATTCCGATTCTGAACAAATTACTTTCAGGATGTGCGTTAATTATGTTACACATTATATAAGAGGTAACAACTAACTTTTAATGTGCAATTAACTTAATGACCGCTTCACGTTTGAACCAAAATTACTACCAATGTAACATCTCAATATAATGAAGTTATTAATGAAAACACAAACAACTAGCTTTTAACCTCATTGAACTTAATATTCCGCGTAGAAATTTAAACCAATTTGTTGTTTTACTTTAAAGAAATTAAACTAAAAATCTTTCTATAATACTGTATGAATAATATTTAATTTTTACTTTGATAATTTTGAAAATAAAAGTTTTTATTCCAATTCAGTTTATTTGATTTTTTTAAGAGTATTTCAATCAGAGAGCAGCGTAGTTTAACAGAATTTAATTACATCAAATTTGAAATCTTCACATTACACAATCAAACGGCAGAATTTTGTGATATTTTAAATGGAATAAAAATATATTACATATATCAGAGTCTGTGGTAAATATTCACATAATCTTCTATATATATAAAAATGGATTGCTGTTCCTTAGTCTCGCTAAAACTCGAGAATGGCTGAACCGATTTGGCTAATTTTAGTCTTGAAATACTCCTGGAAGTCCAGGGAAGGTTTAAAAGGTGAGAAAAATTGATTCATTACTGGGGAAACCATAAAAACAGCCCTTTTCTATTTCCCCTACAAACGTTTTTTTTGACATTAGATTTGACAACTAACAAATATGTCAATTCTGTTTGATTGAAATAGGAAAAACCTGATTATTTATGGCCTCTAAGACGGAATAGAGTTCGCCTGGTCAGCTATACCAACATATATTACTCTTGACCAAACTAACGCGGACGAAGTCGCGGGCAAAAACTAGTTATATATATTTTTAATTTATAATATCATCTTCTTCTTCTACCTGGCAATTTCCCAGCTACAGCCAGGGTCTGCCTTACATTTTGTGTATAGTTTTGGCTATTAGTTTTTACGACCGGCCGCCTGCCTGACATCAACCCTCTTTTGGGAATCAACATTAACCAGTGATGTCTAAATAGTCTTAGAAAGTACATATGATTTGGAAAAATCACATTGGTACTTGCCCGGGCCAGGATCGAACCCGCGCCCTCGGCAACGAGAGGCGGGCCTTTTAACCACTAGGCCACCACTGACTATAATATCATAATATATACTAATTTAACTTTGCCTCCGTTTCATAACAACAATATCTTTATTTTGTATTCCCTTTTTCATGAAAAAAATTAGATTTTCTTTGTTCTAACTAGAAAAACAAGGCATCATTGTTCATTGTCTGTTTTATATAGAATCAGATATATTTGTAGTAATTTACTTGAATTCACTTTCTATATTCTCATTTAATACCCACCTATAATATAATAACAATAAAAAATTTCAAAATAGCTACCTTTATCTTCCGCAATCTCAATAACAGAAAGTATGAATATTAAAAGATTTACTTTACACATAAAAGTAATTAGTTATTTTATTTAAATTTTATTCATATTTTTTTTATATTAATGAATATTTAATCTCCAAGTGCGGTACGACATTAATTAGCGAATCATTATTTCACATTATACAGGGTGTATGAAAAACTGTGTCAACCCTTGAAGGCACGTATACATATAAGTATAAGCTTATTATAAAAAATAGTATAACTTAAAAAAAATCAAGCAGAAGTCAGTTACAGTGAATTTTAAATAGACTAAGTAAGTTTTAAATCGACATTTTTCGAAAATATGTTCCAAACATCTGACTCATACAAGGTCAAGACACCGTATAGTCGCTACGACGCACGCGTGACCATTGACCGCGGGCGCCGGGCCGCCGGCGTTATTATTACTATTCTGTTAGTTGTCGAATAGAGATTTGAAAGTGTAAAAATTAGTTATATCGATAAATATTCTATCGACATTTTCAATATTGGTATAAATAGTTATGCTTTTCACATTAAAATAATTTCATTTAAAATAACTTTCATTAATAATAAATATTATAATTTGAAACTTGTTCAGGTAAATTAACTACATATGTTATATTATTAGGATAAATCGTTAATCTATTTCTGTTAAAAATGATGTTTTACAATCAAACATAATATTAATGTTTGATATATCAAAATAAGTATCGAAATAATATGAATATTAAATATTTATTTATTGTTATGATTTTTTAAATATCGATATTCTGAATAATGTGAAAGTAACTTCAAGGTTGTCACTAGTAGCGCAGCAGCTGTGATGACGTCATTGCGTGTCATCGTGTTATACCAGGGTTTACAAACATTTTGTTACTCTACATATAATAATCATTTAATATTTAATTTTATTATTTTTATTGAAGAGTTTGTAAATGTAAGTTGTTTTATTGTGTTACATTATCGATACTGATAACGTAGTTAAGAGGGTTGACACAGTTTTTCATACACCCTGTATACAGGGTGACTGGTGAATTACTATCAATATTTAAGGAGCATACTCGGTACATGATTCTCATTCGAATTATGTAAAAAAAATAGGCTCTTAATTTTTGTCAAAATTTCCGTATAAATAAATAAAGTGTTGACACGTTCCAAGTGTTCCAAGTGTGGACGCGTGCGGCGGCGTGCTGATACAACACCACGCCGCCGCACGTGTGTGTGTGTGTGTGTGGGTATACCTAATCTGTAGGGTGCTCACACGATGCGTAATTAATTACATAACTTTTGGTTAACTTTACTTAGAAGTTTATTAATATTTATGTTATATTAATTTTTATTTTGTCATATATGATCGTCAAATATCACGTCCTCAAGCATCGATAGTAATTCACCAGTCACTCACGTACGATGACTGAGAGAGCCGGTAGCCGTTACCCTATTCCCACCCTTTCCTGACATTCCCTTATTCCTACCCTTGCTTAGTCCTCAAAAATAAAGGTTGGCAACGCATATGCAACATCTATGTCGCGGATGTCCATGGGCGACGGTCACTACTGCCCATCTAGTAGGCCGTCTGCTCGTTTGCCACCTTTGACTTGAAAAAAAATGTTAACTTTGTAATTGAAAAATTTTCGCGAATATAAAATTAAAAAAAATATACTGGAAAATTATTCATTTTCAAGTCATCATTTTCACTTCATTAATATTTATTTTATATAGGTATAAAATAATTAAATTATATAAAGAGTTTAACTTATCGAATGGGAACGAACCGTGTGTAAAGGCAGTCAGTCAGAAGTCAGTGACACAAGAAGTATCGATTTTTGGGACACGTACATATATTGTACAAACAAAGTGAATTTAATTTTTATTTATTTATTAATAACATTTATTACAGGTATGTAATATATGTATGTATTTAAATATTTTCGCCTCAAACAGCCTTCTAAGAAATATCAAGATTAATTAATGTTTGGATTTCACCCGAGAATGAAACTCGAAATAGAGACGCCTACAAAAATAATAAAGCAAGTGATGAACATGCTGCTTAATTTATAATGTCATCAGGCAGGTCAATATAATATTTGAGAACTAGATGTCGCTGGATTTTAGATTAAAACTAGCTGACCCGGCAAACGTTGTTTTGCCATATAAAAAAATAGGGGTTTGTGATAAAAAAGTAAAAATTTTTGGTTGTGTGTATTTTTAATGCTACATTATAAAAAATAAAATAAAAATAAAAACAAAAAATACGTCCGAAAAAAAATCAAGGGTGAACAACCCTTATGATTTAGGGGCATGAAAAATAGATGTTGGCCGATTTTCAGACCTGCTCAATATGCTCACAAAATTCCATCAAAATCGGTCCAACCGTTTCGGAGGATTTCTCTGCCCAGCACCGCGACACGGGAATTTTATATATAAGATGTAATCCACAATAAGTATTAAAGATAAATGTGTATATAATAACATGTTTATGGTGTATTCAATATACGTAAAGAAAGGTTACAAAATAGCCCCATATGTACCCAAAAGATCTATTTAATTTAATAAAAGATAAATTTTGACAGTCTTAAGTTTATTTTGTTGATACATTATAATTCACACAGTGGCGTAACTTTTCAAGTTCGCTCGTAATATTATTACACTCTATAGTTCCACATAGGTCGCCATATTTGCCACCCCGCAAATATTCAGTCCTCTTCTAATCCTTAAAAGAATGTTAATTGTGTTGTATTAGTTATTATAAATTATTTTCGCTCTGTTCGTATGAGTCAGTCACCTCATGTATCCGTTCTCCCCCCACTGCTCGCCCCACCAGTTCAGTAGTATCCAGTAGTCTGGTGTGTATCCCACTAGCAACATCGCGTGGTTGAGGTGCCAGGGGACGCAGAATGGATCGTCGTATATGCCACTTCTGAATACCATAACAACTTATTTAAATATTCAAACCCTATATAGCAGGAACTTCCTCAATCAATGTGAGTCTTACTCATGGGCTTGTCTTTTTAATAAACTAATCACGTTAATGTTGTCTTACTTTAAAACGGTTCAGTTTATGAGTAGAGATGTAGAACATCTCCTCGTTCTTGGACGCTTAAAGAGAAGTGAACTGTATCTATAGTTTTTTAAAATCTTTTAACATGCACGTCTTCCAACGTTACAACGACAAACACATTGGCCCGGGATACACCAGGGAAATCCAGATGTCTTGAAATTAATACGAAAAATGAGTTTAAGACGCAAATAACATATTTTATTTTTGTTTATTCAAGAAGTTAATGAAGTTTAAGCAAAATACTATCAGAATCCATTGAGTAGTTTCTTAGTTTTAGTTCTCTGTAATTCTAAATAACAATAAAAAATACTAAAAAAAAATAGGCTATTATATAAAAATACTGCACTCTATTGTAAACTGAGACTCATTACACGAGAAAAAAATATATTATCTATTACATTTATTGACATCACTTATATTTAATTAACACACATGCTCCAAAAAAAAAACCTGAGTCATTTAAAAAAAACGGATAAATTAATTTTAGAAATAAATGTAAATTTAGGTATACTTACGATATGAAATCAATTTGAATTTTAATAGAAGCAAAGTGTCAACCTTGTACCTGTATAATTGGAAGGTGAATGGCGCAGCGTTGACTGCGACGGCCAGTGGTCCCAGGGTCGCTAGAGCTCGCTCCATGGCTGCCTCGTCTGTGGGAGGGAGGGAGGACCAGCGGCGGACCCGCGCAGACACGGACTCACGGTTGTAATGACAAACGCCTCTCTACCGTACACAAATACCTTACATGTGTTTATTTAATATCATCATCAGCCTATCATAGCCCACTGAAAACCCCTATCAAACCCCTATCCCCTATCAAACCCCTCTTCTCACATGGAGAAGGTTTGAGCATTAATCATAACGCTTGCTCAAAACGGGTTGGTGATTTCAAACTTATAATTTGATTTTATAAGTCCAGGTTTAATTACGATATTTTCCTTCACCGTCTGTCAGTGGTGCCTAAATACTCTTAGAAAGTACATATAGACCAGTGCCGATAGCTTTTAAAACATAATTAAATTATAGTATGTAGAATGAAACTCATAAGAAAAGGAGGGGAATATTATAAAAATTAAAGGAAAAATAATTTACGAGCGATCTGAGAACGGGAAGGTTATGGGGATGGGTATTTAAGGGTAAAAACTTAAAAAATGGGTTTTCTCGATTTCCGGCAAAACTAAGAGTCCTACATAAAAATGTTATATGGCAAAGTTGTAGGTAATAAAAAGATCTAAATCTTTTGTAATAATATTTTTTTCACATAACCTGAAAATTTATGTGATTAATTCGAAAAACCAAGTCTTTGGTTTTTCATTTTTATTTCGTATAAAAAACAATTTTTTGTCACGAAATTTGGTGAAAACTTTCCTGATGTTACAAATGCAGTGTAACTTATTTGATGAGAAATATGTATTTTTTCAACTTAAAATAAATACCGAAAAATCAGCCTCATTTTCAATCGAAAAATCACCCGTCAAAATCTCAGCTATATTCAACAATTTGGTATGTTTTCAATTTGTTGAAATCTCTATTTGCCAATGGTGAAGAAAAAAATATTAATTTCTTACTTGCAGTACCATTTTTGGATAAAGAAATCATGTTCCTTTTAATGAAATGACACTCGATATCGTTTGGAAAATGCTCCTTCAATTTATTGTTAATAGTTTTAGCAGCTTAATGTCAATTTTCTGTAAATTACTTAAAAGAGGGACTATCTGGAGAACTTCCAGAGTACACAACTATTAAAAATATATTAGAAAGAGCATTTTCAAACCGATGTCGAGTGTCATTTCATTCAAAGAGACATGATTATTTTATCCAAAAATGTTAGTGTAAGTAAAAAACTTATATTTTTTTCTTCACCATCGGAAAATAGAGATTTCAAGAAACAGAAAACACGTAAAGTTTTTGAAAAAAGCTGATATTTTGACGAGTAATTTTTCGATTGAAAATGAGACTGATTTTTCGATATTTATTCAAAATAAGCTGTAAAAATCAATATTTCTAATCGAATAAATTACAGAGTATTTAGGATATAAAAAGATAAGTTTTCACTAAATTTCGTAACAAAAAATTGATTTTTATACGAGATAAAAATAAAAAACCAAAACTTGGGTTTTGTGTGTTTTACACATAATTTTTGAGGTTATGTGAAAAAAGTGTAAATATAAAAGTTTTAGATCTTTTTATTACCTACAACCTTGCCATATAACATTGTTCATTAAGACTCTTAGTTTTTCCGGAAATCGAGAAAACCCATTTTTTACCCTTAAATACCCACGCCCGTACCCTTCCCGACCTCAGATCGCCCGTAAACTATTTTTCCCTTAATTTTTATAATATTCCCCTCCTTTTCTAAAGGGTTTCATTCTATTATAATTTATTTTCACTTTTCATCATTTTTAGAGGCATCAGCACTGGCCTAATATGACTCTGAAAAGTCACATATTTTTATATAACAACTAGTTTTTGCCCGCGACTTCGTCCGCGTTAATTTCATCATTAGTAATATATGTATAGCTGACTGGGCGAACTCTATTCCGTCCTAGAGGCCATTAATAATCAGGTTTTTCCTGTTTCAATCGAACAGAATGATTGAAATATTAGTTAGTTGTCAAATCTAATGTCAAAGAAAACATTTGTATGGGAAATAGAAAAGGGCTGTTTTTAGTGTTTTTCCGAAAATAAATCAATTTTTATCATCTTTTAAACCTTCCCTGAACCTCCACGAACATTTCAAGACTAAGATAAGATAAATTCGTTCAGCCTTTCTCAAGTTTTAGCGAGACTAAGGAACAGCAATCCATTTTTATATATATAGAAGACTATATTGTTGTTGGTTGGCATACCATATTAGGAAAAGTATATTTTCAAATTTTATTTGTAAAGTCCTTTGAAAGATATTAAGAGACTCTTATAAATTAAAGATAATTGCAACTCATACACTTTAATAAAAAAAAAGACTAAAGGGAAATATAATTAAAAAAGTAAAAACTCTTAATAACAAGCGTACTATGACAACAACATAAATGAAAACATTTCAATCTTGGACTGATATTAATCTTTGCTGTTTCAATGATTCTCATGAGACTTAATAATAAATATTTAGCATTTTAAATATAGCGAGGAGGCTAAATATTCTCAAACAATGAAAGTTTACCTTATTATGTAATAAACGTGCTTAATAAGTAGGCTTTAAGTACGATGGACTAGATATTAAACTGATCTTAATAAAAGCTTCATATGCTTCTATAAAGTGTCCACATATCCAAGTGTTCACTTACTTGACCGATGTAAGGGTAATACGTCTCCCTGATGAGTCCATCTCTGGCCGCGTACCTTAGAGCGGCTTGTAAGGAACCTCCATCGCAGCCCAAGTTGCCATCCTTAGAACTACAATCCACTATCTGCTGCGGGCTAAAAATCACACTTTATAGGGAAAACAACACGAAAATATCAAGCCAGCCTTGTAACAAGCAGTTAGTGTACAACAACCTCAATTCCCTCCAATCTCCGTGTATCCGGTACAATTGAGCCTGTACAGCGTGGGTGATGGTGAAGGCGTAGCACGCGCCACAATGGAACTGCTCCTCCAGGCGAGGACGGAAACCCTTCTCTCGCCAGTCAACCTGACCCACGTATTGTTAATACTTTAGATTAACTTATGAATTAACTTAAGAAGTTATTTACATTAAGACAAGCTAATTGTGTAGAGAATAAAAAAAAATGTGGCTCAATTTGTTTAGAGAAACCGAATAAATTTGTGTAATATTTAAAAATTAGTATTAACATATTTGTCAACTGTCTATATAATAGTGAGTAACCGTGTCTGGTAGTGTTGTATTAACGTGGTTCCTGAAGGTAGTTCTGTGATGGTCCCGGGCCGGGTCGAACAGCGGTAAGGTACTGATCAGTTTCAATAACTGCTTGATGTAACTAAATATCGACTGAAATTAAAGTTATGTTATGTTAAACCGATTTCATTGTAAACAATACAGTACATTTACATTTACGTTCGATGGTAGTAACATTACAAATACATAAATACATCCAAAAAAAAGGATGGGTGTCAATAACATAGATATATTTTCCCTGAAGAATTTTGGATTTTTATTCATATATTTACAAACTAAGGGCAATTGTATGTAAGTAACAAGCCAAATCATATCAAATATTTTATTATGTTTGAAACAAAAAATTGACAAGTTTAGTGAGACTAACTAAATCAAATAACTAACTAAATCAATCAAATAAGATTATCATTAATTAGTAATGAAAATGGTATGAAAATAATTAACTTAAGTTTTCGCTGTCATCATCATCAGACCACTGTGACGTAGCGAGCTCTAGGATGTAGTCACTGTAAGGGACCGTTTGACTTTTTTGTCTTTCCATGTGTCTATTGTATCCTAAATACCAAAGAACTGCAGCTATATGTGCACAACAGTCTACCACTCGTGCTCCTTTTTACACTGACAGTACCACCCATTAATTGGCGGAGAAAAACAGTTATTATATTGAATCCATGCGCTATATATTTTTGATGATGAATGTTGTGATTGTAATTGAACACGAATAATATCATGCTTTTCTTTATGGACATATAGTTCATACAATCCTAAATATATAGATACGTGTAACATACGAGCGCACGGGACCAACACCTTTTTTATATATGTTACTGTTTACAATATGTTAAATCATAAATGTAAAGGATAAAGTGTTGTTACATAGCGATCATATATAAAAGAAATGTTAAAACTACAGATAATTTTTTGAAAAAATTGCTAAAAATATCCTATTTCAAACTACAAATAAAAACAAAAATATTTTTCAAAGGTTAGATATAATATGCAAAATGCATAGAGTGGGTAGTCTAATTTTGAAAAAATGTATCAGTAAGGAACTGTGCAGGTATTTTATTTTTCGTAATTTATAGGGAAAATTACCTAGGTTATTGACACCCATCCTTTACATCGTTATGCCGGCCTGTCTACCGGAGAGGTCCACCTGTACAGGTTCAAGAGAATGTTTGTGGGAATAGACCTGTGCAGTTTTTTGAACGCTACCAGTGTTGCACAGGCATACTTGCACAGATGAGCACTCCGGTAGACGGTAGCGTGTGTGGCCGGCCTTAATGAGCCGCTGCTCTTACAAAAGTCCAGAATTTCTAATGTGTCAACATGTTATACCATTAGTTGTGCGTGTTTTCCCTCACCCAGTCTCCGAAGTGGTTCATGTGTAGTGTGTAGGTCTGTCTGCCCGCGAGGTACTCCTGGTTGTGACCCGCCACCCTCCTCATGTTGCTCCTCCAAGTCGACAACGCCGACCTCTCGTGAACCCTGCTCTGATACTTTTTGTTGAACTTCGTCTGTAACATATTAAACTTTAGTATCTCTCTCTTTCTCCGTTAAATCACACTGTTTGTTTCTTCCTATATATGTATAATAATACACTACATTTTACTTACTTTATACTCCTCCCAATGTACGTGTAGCAATTTTTCAGGAACTCTTACAATATAATCCTTTCTATATTTGCAATTCTCTCGACTTGTTTTCACTCCATGACCATTGTGCGGCGACACATAATCTCTAGATGTGGCAGTATTTCTAAACAGTGGTATAGAAGTCGTCTTAAAACTTTTTATATTCGAGTATTGTTCTTCCAAATCTGGACCTAAGCAACGTTTCATTAATTTATTTTTATTTAAAGTACATCTCGTTTTAAACATGGTTTCATTTAAAGGAAAGTATCCGTTAATAAGTGATATGAACACTAGAAATATAAACATTTGCAGTTTGATTAATTATAAACAATTATAAAGTAAGAACGTCCGTGTTCTCGTTGAGAGATTCGATTATAATATTATACAAACCGTTTAGATTAAAACATTTTAACATTTATTTAATGTTGTACCTTATTACTGCTATAATATTGTGTAAAATCACTGTCATTATAAATCTGCTTACACCGCGACCTGCATTTAAAAAGTATAAGTGAGCAGATACTTACATAAAAATTAAAACACATCGTTAAATATAAAGTAAATTTTTCTGCTCTCTGTCTGTCTTATATGAATGATTTAAAAATGACATTTTTTTTTCATGTATATTGTTTGTTCCAAGCTTCAATAAATATATATGTATTACAAAATAATTCAATCTTATCATCATAACTTAACATAACAGTTACTCAAAACATTATTTTCATCAGAAAACTGTATCTGAATACTGTAACTAAGGTCTAATCACCAGAAAGTTGTAGGTAATCTGTCCGCTGTTACTGTAAACTTACTTATATAACAAGGTCATTTATTTATTTTATGTTTCAGATGTTAGATTTAATCTTTGCATTAGTTAACATTGAACGAGTTTATTATTGATTTTTTGATATAACATGTATAATGTATATATTATTCACATTCTTAATACTTATAATGTAACTTGTAAGTACCAATACCGAGATGATTGAACTAAGGCAAAGTAAGTTTATCTGTGTTTTTATCATTCAATAAAGTTCGTGCAGAAGGCAACAGATATCCTCAATACATTATATTATTGAAAGTATAATAAGCATCATTCTAAAGTGTTCTTTTCTATGTACAAGTACTGTCCGCATCTCTACTGATGAATCTGATATTGCGACTTATGTGTGTATCTGCATGTAAATTGATATACTGATTTTATAAATTTAGATCCGCAAGTTTAAATTGGCGGTTTTTAACATTAATTCTTTAAAGCCCTTTAAATAAAAAACAATGTTAAGTTGGTACTTTGTACATATTGTGTGTTTTGTAATTATTATTTTCTTAATATCCTTTCAGAGAACCGACATAAAGTTTTAAGGTACTAATACTCCCGTACGTTATCTATGTGCAAATCGTATTATTTTAATGAAATTGAAATTCAGAGGAATTAATAAATAAAAATTAATTTCAACTTTTTTAACACTTTCTTTGTCTATCATTTATCGAAAACAGTTTTATATTATATTATACTAGAAGACCCGGCGAACTTCGTTTCGCCCTATAATCAAGAAATATCTGTTACGTTTTTTTATTTATATTTTTGGAGTTTACCTATTAAAGCCATAAATCTCCGTGTTTTGAAGTGATTAGGAATGATTAATAGTTAATATGAGAGTTACACTGAGCTAGCAAAATAATAATTGTCAACGTTACTACTACACTTGATGCACAAACAATAACGATGGCCGACAACTGTGTAGGGAGTGAGAGAAGTCTAATTGTGTGAGAGAAACAGAAGACCGGCTTCGTTCTCATCCCTACTCCGTGCTGTTTACTGGGTCAGAAGTGACACCTGTAGATATCTGGCGGGGATAACTTATTAAATGACGATTGATCAGTTATCGACCGGAGATGAAAAATGATTAAATTACTAAAATAGCTATTAAAAAATAAGGGTTGATCGTAGAAGGGTGAAAATTTAGGATTGTATGTATTTTTGTACGTTGTATCATAAAAAAATAGTAATTAAAAATTTTGTCTAAAAAATAAAAAAATAAAATTTAGGGGTGGACTACCCCTAACATTTAGGGGGATGAAAAATAGATGTTGGCCGATTCTCATAGCTACCGAATAAGCACAAAAAATTTCATCAAAATCGGTTAGGTTGTTTCGGAGGAGTATGGGCACGAAAACTGTGACACGAGAATTTTATATATTAGATTAACAGAATAATGAGCGAACATTTATAGATTACAACTGTTAATGCTCCGTCTGTAGGGGCACGTTGCTAACTTAGAACAAGCATATTATTTATAAGCATCAGAATTCCATTAGAAATACGAAGAATATACGTACATTTCAGAAACATTGAAGTTATATAAATACTGATTAAAATGAAACTGATCTGATTTAGCTTGCCTGGTGACGTAGATGTTATCATTTAGAAACTTTTGATATCAAACTATTGTATGCGGTGATAGTATACACTTCCCTCACTCAAGATTTTGTTTTTTTTCATTAGAGCAAGTGGTTTTTTTTTCTGATTGATGAGATTCAATTTTATTAATAGCTTTAGTTTTATTAGAGATTCAAACCGCTAACATTCTTTTTAGAGTTAGTGCCGATGGCATTTTTAAAGCTATCAAAACTAACTTTGAGGTTCTCCACTCTTCTACCTGGCAATTTCCCAGCTTTAGCCAGGGTCTACCTTACATCATATATGTTTTTAATAGTTGACATTAAAAAAAAATATTGTGAATTGCTGAAAATATTCACAAAGTAATGTGAACAGACTACTTACTGACTCCTAGAACGCAAGTGTACCAAACTAGTCTTACCCGTATACATATACCAATTCCCTTACTCTTATCAGGGAGGTAGAGTGAGTTAGCTAATAATAGTCAACCTATATTCTAGTTTTGAACAGTTAAATAACAAATAATCGTGAATAAATCCATCATAATATTTTTAATTCAACACTTATAAAATCTATTCATCTATATCAGATTATTGAATTGTTAAAATGTCACCTATTTCCAAAAACAATACCTGTTGCTGTTCTTAAATTAAGATACGGAATAATTCGATATACTCGTAATCATCATTTTATCCTTAAGCTATAATTTAGAACGTCTGTTGTTCTTCATCTAATATAAAAACACAATTCATAAAAAAAAAAAAATTCATTTGTGGTGTCATTTAACATAATCTAATAGTAATTTCTATATTATCATCAGTGTCTAAAAGTTTTCAGATTTCCCTATAGTTATCCTTGTTACGTAAGCGCAACTTGTTAAAAAATAAATGACCATCGCCTGGGCAACGTAGTTGTATGGATAAGATTATATATAACGGAACGAACACCAAGCCGTGTGAACCAGAAGATTTCTGATACCACACAAGCTATGGAATGGTATTGCCATCCTAACATCGGGGCAATTAATTTCTTCTCTTAAAAAAACTTTACTGGTGAGTGAAACTTATGACAATAATCATACTAAGTTTGGGTCTTTATATTTTATTTGAAAAATAAGTTCAAGTATATATAAATTTATTATTTTTGTTACAACAAAAAGTTGGTTTTAAAATTGCATTATATTTATTTTCTTTTTTGCAGTATCTGAATCAGTATTCGTCGTATTCTTTCTTGTACTGTTGTTATTATATTGATAATGCGCATTTCTTTCAAAATAGATATTTTAATCTTTTAATAAATATATAACATTTGAAGCTCAGCTGAAAAGATCCTCTATTGGCGATGGACCGTGCTTATTGATATATGTTGTGTTTCGTATCTCTAATCAATCTTGAGTCAATCAACCAAATTCTGTCTTTCGTAAGTAAATATCGACAACCTCTTTGTAACCTCCTCATAAAAAACTGAATTCACAAACATTCTTCACCAAAGCATCGTTTTTCTCCCCTTTTACAAATCGGTAAGCCTGATAACCTAACGATGGGGTCATTTTATAAATTCTATCTTAGCGAAAAATTTCTAGTTTTAAGTAATGGAATCCCAGTGTCGAAGAATATTTAAATAAACACTAACAATGGCACCCATCATCAAGTTCAAGTGATGATGATAGTATTTCCTTGAAATATTGTGATTCAGTACAGAAAACAAACGAGCAAAATATTGAGAAACGGTATGTTATGTCGACGATAAGTTCTCTTTTAGCAATTCTTGTGATGAGAACCTAAAGGAAATGGACTTCAACACATATACAGTCTGGAGTCAATAGCTGACTTAAAGACATCTCTTAAGAAAGTAGTTAAATATAAGTCTTAATTGTTAAATTATATTGAATATAGTTTTATAAGTAAAACTGATTTTTCTTGCATCCTTCGCGGCAACCAAACGTAATTCGACTACTTTAGAATCATACACAAAGACTACTGCTCCGTACAACAAATATGCTCAATATACTGAACACAACAATACAATTGCTTTTAAGTAAGTAACTCAACAATTATTTCCTGACGTAAATAGATAACCATATTGAAATTATACAAGATGTGCGTTTGTCAAGAACTCCGATCCATTCCTACACGTATTAGAGTGTATCAAACTTTTAGATAATATAGACCAAGTATCTGTACCACATTCGCAAGCTATAGAAGTAAAGCTATGTCATTTAATCATATCAGCGATACAAGACATAATAGAGCACAAACGATGACACATGAGCGATGGAGGGTGTTCTAGACCTTTGCATCTGAATCGTGATATAAATATTGACCGAATATTGGCTTCCTAGCACGTCTATATCAGTGTTAACTTGATATTTTCAGGTTGCAAGTACTTTTAATCACATACAAAATGATAGAGTAGTTGTTTATTACAAATAAAACGTCAACAAGACAATTAAATAACAAATCTTCGTTGAATGTTCCTCCGTTTTGGTCACTGTGTAACCATACGTCAATCTTTAGTTCGTACAGAACATAACATACATAACAATGAATACCTCTTCTTTTGCTCATGAGATAGTACTATAGATAATAATTGTGTCCTGGACATTTCAATAATTCATAACATTGATCCAAACGGGAACCGGTACCGCGCTCATGTTCTGCTACCTGTCCACACGTTAATCACACGACCCAATAGATAAATTTGTACACATCTTGTGTTAATTAAATCGAATTGCTCATCTTTTACCTTAGTCCTCCAAGCAACCCTAACGTTAAAAAAGTGTTGTGGTGTATTGGTGCGAGAACTTGTGTTTCATCGAGAAATCAGGGATCGATCCCGGTCGAGAAAAAAAGCAACCCTAACGTTATTAAATGTGAAAATATACTACCCGGCACTACACTACATCGACGATAAATAAAACTAATTATAAAGAAACTAGCTTTTGCCGCGACTACGTCCGCGTGGAATAGTGACTTCCGGCAGATTTTTGGTTCTTTCCACATAGTTCCCGTTCTTGCGGGGTTTTCAGAATGGTCGAGTTCCCGTAGAATTTTCAGGATAAAACCTATGTTTTTTTATTCACAATGAAGTACTCTTAACCAACAACATATTTATTTGTTTATTTGAATAAAGATTAATATTATTTTGTTGATACAACTTAAACAAATTATTTCGACCAAATTAGGTACCATAAATACGGTTTTTGTGAGTTAATCTTAAAAGATAGACATATACTGTCGCGGACTGTTTTTTAGATCATTAAAGGAGCTATTATTCTTTAACACATATTTTTTGTGTATCTTGAACCGTTTTCACGGCGCACGCAACGGAAGACTTCAAAGATGAAATAATTTCTCCCGTTTTTTACACATTTACCACTATATCTTTGCTCCTATTGGTCGTAGCGTGATGTTATATAGCTCACAGCCTTCCTCGTTAACTGGACTATCCAACACAAAAAGAATTATTCAATTTGAACCATAGTTTCGGAGATTAGCGCTTTCAAACAAACAAACAAACTCTTCAGCTTTATAATATTAGTATAGATTGATCGACAATTTTCTTTAGTTGACTTTTTCAAATCAAAGCATTAAAATATTAAATTAAATCACATCACAGAAACTATATAACAAACAGTAGAATCACGAATTGTTATATAATACAATTTCAGACACAACACAAAGAAAACACATGATTGATTCAATATTTTATTTGATAATAAATTTATTACACAGATACGTCACGAGGATTATAAAAAAATATATAAATAAATAATAAAATTAACTAAAACAACGTTCACTACGAAGGAATCGACGGTTAAAAATCACACTCTCATAGATAAATGCAAGCAAATATATTTACAAGGAACAGTTAGAATGGTCTACTTACAGCTACGACTACATCTACACTAATAATACTTTGTTAATACAAACTTAGACTATACATACAGTAGACTACTGACTTTGTTCACTTACATATATTATACGACGATCACAACTGAGCATCACGTGACATATCAACACAACTTGTGACAATATTTAAAGTTCACTAAATATTTAATATCTCGTCGGTTCAAACAAAAACGAAAAGTCGCCAGCGACACATGAAATGTACTTTAACTAATTATATAATCATATTAAGGACATACGTGTGTGATTTTTAACCGTAACACCAGGGATGGTTTTTGGCAAATGTCTCGTCATTAGAAATGTAAGTTACATAACAGTTAGATCACAAAGACCGTATAAAAAAATATACATAATAAATGTTTACTTAGAATATATATTCCGAACTTGTCGTTAATCTAACGAGACTCTTTAAAAGAGGCATCTACTCCAGACATGAAATTTGCCAAAAATTCTAAGCTCTATAATAATAATCGGAGTTGTATTAACACAATGAGCTCCGAACAATGTTACCTAAAATCCCTTGACTCCTAGAGTTCTGTGTTCAAAGTGACCTTCAAACAACCTCACTTTACATTATTTCCGTCAATTCGTCTAAATTAATTATTACAGATTTCTCTGAAGAATCTTCTTTATAACAATGATTTGTTTTATATTTAATCTAATTATAAATTATTAGTTTAATAGTATACGTCAGATGAGCGTCCACTGTTGAGCAACTTGTCGTATGTGTGGACAGGTCCAACAGTCTGTGTGTATGTGTGTGTGTGTGTGTGTGTGTGTGTGTGTGTGTGTGTGTGTGTGTGTGTGTGTGTGTGTGTGTGTGTGTATATTCACCGCAGCCTGGTGTCCGTCGCTCCGTTGAAGGACCTCAGCTCGGTGTAGGGCCGCTTGAGGAGCTTCAGGTCCTCGCCCGTCACCAGCGGAGTGTACTCACGACGCTTCCTGTACACCATCACACTGAAATATACACCAAAATAACTATATTACTATCAAAATAATTTTAAATACATAAAAAGATGCTTGGAGTATAAATATATTTCTATTCTCTAGTTGAGGTTTGATATGCGTCATCATTGCGGATCTGCTTTTTTTATTGATTATTAATAAAACGGTAATTTATTCTTCATAAAGGTTATAAAAGAGCTTTTATTTCTGAACCACATATTTTATTACATATATAATTATAATATCGCGTTTGTATTCACTCAATAATTAGACGATGAAAATCGTTATGAAACATCTGTAGCAGAAATATTTATAAGTTATACATTTTGATTTAAATCTGTCAATAATAATCAATACACATATCGACAGACGAGAATTACAAAAAACAAATCACTATGTTGTAACTGAGAAATATGTTTTAAACTCAAATATATGTATTTAACATATCTAACTCATATCGATAATAACATTAATATCAGGAAAAATAACGATTGAAAATACAAAATATACACTCTTCAGCGACAGCTAATGCCAGTCAAGTCGAAGAGTGCATTTAACTCTATCCCCACCCCTCGACCGACGACAAAGCGACATGCAATAGAGAAATAATTTTGAGTCACAATTGAGGTGTACCCATCATGGATCCAGGAGTGTATTTCCTTAACCGATTGCGTAGTTTTACAGTTTGAACTATTGTATTAAGAACCTCAGTCAAATGTAACATCTGGGTGTTGTTTAATATCCAAAACATTTGTATTGATTAAAAGATAATTAAACCCATATTTGTTTACGCGCGGGACGTCACGTGCTGTGTTCTAGAACCTTGTTTATGACAGACGATTATAAAATGAAGAGCAGTCATAAAACGCGTCAGAGCTGTAAACAATACATTAATATACAATAATACAGTAATGGGATTGTATAAATGTGCATATTGTTATGATAAACCGTAATAGTCGTGAAATTATGTTTACATTTCATTTTTATTTCTTAGACTTTTTTTTATCTCATGATAATTCTATCTACATTTTATTCCCTCCCGGTGACGCGGTCAAAGCCTTTACGGCTAACAGTAACAGAGAAAAAAAAATTATAACTATTATGAAGAATTTAAAAGACGCTCACTACGAACATCCAGGTTAACAACCACCCGTTTTGTTTTTTTGACTTATCCCCAGTCGAGTATCAAAGTAAAACACACCGAGGTCGATAAATATACGATGTACAAAACATTCACCAATACTTTTTGTGTGGAAGTAGATCTGAACCAAACAACAGTTATGTAAGGATTTTTTTCGCTGTAACTATTTACAGTTATTTTAGATGGTGGTTATCATCAAAGGTGAGATAATTGTCCGCCACGCTCCGCTACACTCTCTGCCCCGCCCGGACTCCTCAATACACACTGCTCAGTCAGTACACGACGCTCCTCACGGATACAAGTCAACAGTATTCATTGTATTGTTTAAATATTCCGTTATGAGCGAGGACTATTAACATCTACCCATATATTACGTGAGTGATCTTTTTACGAACTTTTTTTTTTCAATAAAGTGAAGCATTTCAAAGTCACCATTATCGTTTATTTATTTTTTTTATATTTCCGCGTTTTATAAAAGCCGTTAATAAGAATGAGATTAAAAAAACGGAGACGCGAGTCAAAGGCGACTGTGATAGTTTCCCGCCTAAGTGTTAAAAATATTCTACAAGTTCTCAATACACGAACACCAACCGTTTATATAAAATAAATACTTTAAGGATTCTGAAGGCTCAATGAGTTTCTTTTGTTACAGAGACGTTTGTTCCTGAAACTACGAGGAGTGAGACACACGGGCGAGTGTATAGCGGACGAAAATATTTATTTTGTTATTAGATTTAAGGCTACGGTAAAGTATTATGTATTATTTGTATGTGATTTTGAATAAATATTACGAGTGTTTTGGTTTCATTTAACACCTTCAGACGACATTGTGTACGCACACATAATACTGGTAAATCCTTGTTCAAACATATATGTTATTATAATAATTAAGAAGATTATGAAAGGAAATTTTCACAATCAATTACAACAAAAAATATTATAAAGACGCATATAGAGAAAAAAATATTGAAAAATATGGGATGAACGTGTGAGTTAACATGTAATCGTATAAATCATAACGCTATGACGTAGGAGGAGCGATTTGAAATAATTAATATGTTAACAGGAAATAACAGAAAAAATATAATACGCTAGAGTTTATGAAAAACACCACACGTTATTGAGGGGGAAAAAATAATGAATAAGATGACGTCACGACCTGGAGGTAATAATAGAGTAACAAATAATAATGAAAATAATACAACGAGATAGAGAAATACGTGTATGACTGTGTAGACGACGTAGTACATTAGTACACACGTACGACTGATACGCTGAGATGAACTACTATTTTTAAAAGAAATGTTTAATAAATGTCACAAAATCTAGTATAGTAGTGGTAACATGGCAAATACTAAACTTTGAGTTATGAAAAAGTGTACCAGGAATTAACAACCTTCACGTCAGGTAAAAGAAACGAGCTAGTTCTTATCTCGAAATAAATCAATGTTAACTTGAAAACGCATGACAGTAGTTAGAAATACGACTGTGTCCTTAATACAAGTTTGCATCTCAACACTACTAACGGTACACGTCCCGTTTAACATTCAAAATGATTGAATGAAAACTCTTAACGCTCCGAGTAGTGAGATGATGCCAACTTGGACCAAGCACCCGAACTAAACAGTTATATTTGCAAAATAATCTTAGCAAATAACGCGTCATATACTCAAAATTAACAGCAAATATTATGTCATTACGGAAGGAAAACCACGTATGAGATAAAACAGTGGTCTTTTTTTGGAAAACCCTGGCGCAGAAGATATAGAATTTAAAATTAAATAGCAGTCAGTGAATTATTTTTTTTACAGTTTGAGTATGTCGTAACACTTCAACGAGTGTCTCGAGTGGCAGTTTTTTTGTCATCTGACCGTGACTGAGTTCATGGCACTCTGTATTATTAATAGTATTTCATCTATCAGTGAGTGAAGGGACCTGTGCACGTCACACCGTTACGAGGATTCTGGAGGTGATTTGGTTCGTATGACTGTCATAGATACAAATATTACGGGGAGTGTGAATACATTGTGTTGTCAGTTGTATATATAGAGTTTATGTAAGTATTATATACAATAATATTCTATGTTGGAGGAATTTGAATAAAAAAAGAAAGATATGGAAATATAATAAGCGTTTTTTTTATTTACATTAAGCAGGCATCAGGATGTATGAACATTCACGTGCTCATCATCTGTATTTGAATGGTTACATGTATGTATATTCCCGGTGCATGTGTGTGTGTGTGTGTGTGTGTCTGTGTGTGTGTGTGTTTATTGCACTATAATGGAGGCTGCAGATAAGTTTCCGTGTCCAGTTAAAGGATGTCATCTGTTAGTGTGTACTGTGTAACACGAGCTCCCGACTGTTCCGTCCACTCCTCACTGATGCTCCACTCCGTCATCGCGTGTTTCCTGTCTGTCTGTCTTTGTCAAGGTGAGTGACGTCATCACTACCTACTAACAATAGATCTCAAATCTATATCTGTATGTGTGTATGTGTATGTGTGTCGACCGTAAATTGACCGAACAATGGAAACTATTTAAGAGGATATAATTAATGTTTTTTTTTATAAATTGGATCTAGTTGAAAGAATAAATTTTTCAAAGCAAAAAGAAATCCTTTATTAGATACGTAATATAAATGACCGGTAGGTACATACATGATTAATGTGAGCCGGCTGTAAACCATTGAGATGTCTGATAACAGAATTATATCATGATAACATAACTACTATTGTTTTAAACTTCAATAACACCTTGAATGCCAATATACACGTGCCAGTTTGTATGTCTCTGTACACATCAGGTCAAAACCTACGAAACCAAAATATGCACCATCCCAAATATTAGCGTTAATACCAAAATGTATTAATTTCATGTGAAGTTTTACCGAGCGAGGACAGTCGGGGGACAAACATGTAGTTGGAATTAAATGTAATGGGTTAATAGGGATGAGATGTAGACGACTACGATGAGTAGACATGGGGATTATTACGAGAACAAGACTCAGATGGAATTTATACGATTACATGTGACATATAAAAAGAAATACGAATATACACAACTCATTATTTTGAATATTAAATATGCTTCACTCATGTATTTAACGCGCGAGTGTATGAAATAATGTTATATGATTAACGAAAACGACCCGAGTTTTACCCTCTTGTATGTATTAAGTACGGATATATGTATGTCTAACATTACATACATGTATAACACATCACGAAGATGTCTTTAAACTATTTGTAAAAAGAAAACTTAAAAACTATTCCTCTATTTAAGAGCTAACCTACACTAACATTAAAATCATGTAATTAATCTAGTAGTAGTGGTAACTCTAGTATATTATAGTTGTAATATGTTTGTAACCAATGTCTCTCTCTAATGTACCTGATAAATGGAACTCTGATAAAAGTACCAGCTAGTTATGAAGGATCCGTATCTATTACATTTTTAGTTGTTTTTTTCAAGGATATGTATTTTAAAATTCACTAACTAAAACAAATTAATTTAAATATAATATAATCAAATGGTAACATTAATCACGATTGATTTGCATAATGAAATCGTCAGTATTGGTGAGATGATAGATATTTTCGGATCTAGATCCGTAGTATCCCTTGTGGGATCTGTATCCACATATAACCATGTCTTAAGACTATTTATTAAATTAACTGACTGATACATGATATATGTCGGTAACTACACGGTTCTACAATTAACAACTATATTTTTTTGATTATTTTACATAAATCATATAATATATCTTATACAACATACAAACTAATAATAATAAAATAAACTCAGTAACATATTGTATCGATCCATACATACAATGTGTACCAGGTATAGTTTTCTTTCTATCCGAGTAATAAATGAATAATCTTACATTAACAGCATCTGCTTAGCGATAGGTTTATACACCAAACAATAGAATCTGGAACAAGAGAAAAAAACATTAGAAGTAATTACAAAATAGTTAATTGAAGAAAGGAATCACTTGTATGGACTTGGGTGAATCGTTTGATACAAAAATTGTTCTCATGATCTTCTTCTAATATGAATGAGTTCGGGAGGAGACACTATAGTTCATTGGTTCTGTACACTCCAGTAAAGTAGTAAATAAGTTTTGTTATTTGGTAACTGAAGGTTAGGTGATGATCATTACTTTAAGGCAGCACTTACAACACTAATAACAGAAAAACCTCGATTCTGGTCAACAGTAAGTTAAGACACGTCTAAGGTAGTGACAGTATGTAAAAATAAAAAGTAGCGTTTAGGATTATGAAAACAAATATATGTATGTGACGATTATTATTTTTTTCCAAAATAAAAGTGGACATGTGAAGTTTCAAGAAGTCCTTATTATTTTCTTCCCGAAAAAATAGTAATAAAAAGATCACATACAACAAAGAATACAGAATACAGATGACACTAACTCGCGAGGGTTCTACCTACAAGAGTCTTACAAGATAATATAGGAACAGTCTGTAATGATCTCCAATGATGTTTGGCAAACGATCTGGAAACAATTTTAGACACCAATTCACCTTGAATTTTTTTTTGGCACACACGATATCGATGGGGACCTTTTAAGGTTTCTTTAGACGTCCTAAACGTTCTTCACAATGTTTTATCGCATCGACAACTTATAAACATGAATTAATTTATGGTCCTTAACATTCAAAACACTGACCCTCTTTCGATACAGAAATAAGCTATTGAGCTTAGCATGTTGAGGATAAAGAAGACACTAACTAATTCACGATTTATTTCCGAGTACAATAAGACACACTGATTTACATATGCAATGATTCGACTTTCATACATGTATTATATCAAAGAATATGAGATACACAATGACACATTTTAGACAAAGAATATGTAACTTACTAACTGTTTACTTACGGCACAAAGCAAAGAAATGTACGTTATCAGTGTGATGCTGTAATGAATGTAAATATAAGTGTATTAGATACAGACCTCACCCGAGCGTGCCGGCCGCCAGCGACGCCAGCACCACCAGCAGCGCGGTGGCCACGCCCCCCGCGCCCACCCCCGCCCCCTGTACGTGCAGCCCCCCTCCCCCCGCAACCCCTCCTTCCTCCCCCTCTCCCCCAAACGCGTCCTCTGCCGACAACCAATCTGTCAAACACAGCACCTATTACGACGCGCCTCACCAGCGACCTCTGAAGACTTTTACAGTCTTCGATATTTAAAAGATCGAATTATAGATACGTTATATAATCTTATGTTTAAAATTATATTTGAAAATAAATATATTCAAAATTGCTTGTAAACAGTATGTCGTTAAGGAGAATCTGTCAAAACGATAATTGTATTAATTGAGGGTAGTTGGCCATCCAAAAACTATGTACACTTATTGTGACACATGTGTTAACGGGACTAACGACTAGGAACTACTCGGTGTAAAGAAACAATATATATAGACAGTTTTCAGAATATATACTGATACATTAGATACTGTAAGAATAATCCGACACCGAATGAAATAAAACGTGAAAACTACAAAGCCCGTCTAGACACCCGCTGTGAGTTGTATAATAAACATGCAGTGTGTTGGAACAAAACAGATTAGTTGTGTACACATATAGAAATAAATATAATTGATATAAAATAATTCAATAAACATATGTTCTATATTTGTTATGTGAGAGATAATTTTACTGAAAAAAACTAATACGTATAAAATAAAAAGCGTCAACATTCTAGTGTCTAGTGATGAATGAGACTCACCCAGCGCTTTGACTTCTCCGACGAATGATTCAAGAAAAAAAAAACAATACATTATTATGAGAGTCGATGTGAGAAGCGAATGACGACCTTATGTATATATGTATAAGGCGTAGTGTACCGTGACGAGCGACTCACCTCCGTACTTGTTGAGTAGAACCATCACCACGCCGTTGGTCCAGCCGAAGCCGGTCTGAACCACGTACTCGCCGCCGCCGCCGAAACCACCGAACACTGTGGCGTCGTACTGGAACACACACACACTCAACAACTATACACACACACACATATACTACCCCGCCACTCACGAGTCGCGGTATACTTCACTTATAAATATGTCAATGATTTTGTGTTTACTTATATAGGCAAAAGATATATAATTTTATATCATATAAAAAAAATCTACTTTAAGGATTTGGTCGACGTCGTTTGGAATGTAAGTGTGTATATAACCACCTCTTCAGACTAATCTCGACATTTTTCAGGTCTTGAAATAGGAATATTATGTAATAAGACTATGTACAAGATTTGACATATTTTGAAACTATTACTTTTTGACGATTCAGTTCCGAACACGTCGGATATAATTTTACCATAAAATATTACTTATTGAGGAAATTATACAAGACATTTACATATTTATTTATTTCATTTATATATTTGTAAAAACTTTACAACAAAAACGTTGACGTCCACACTAGGCTAGGCCGGTATCGTGGACATCGATTCATTTCAACGATTCAGTAAAAGAGAGAGTATGTGTGTGTGTGGCACATGAAAGATACATTTCTTTGGTAGTGTTTGTTCTGTATATATGTATCGTGAGTGTGCTGTATGTATGTACGCACCTTCTCCAGCATGGCCGTCTTCCTCCTCCACACGTCGTAGTTGGAGCGCACCCACTTGGCGGCCATCTCCTCGGCCAGTCTATTGGCGGCCGCGTGCCCGGTGCCCGCCAGTCCCTCCACCACTATGTGTTGTAGCGGCGGCCACGCGTTAGGGTAGTCCCACTGCTCGCCCGAGTGCTCGAACGTCGCCGGTATACCGCCCTCGAAGATGTCCACCTACACACACACAACATATATACTAACACTGATAACGATCATGGTAATTGGTAGGGTATACGAAAGAAAGAAAGAAAGAAAATGTTCTATTTGTGAACATTTTTGCGAGACAGCACTAACATAAACAGAAATAAAAAACAAAAACATAAAATAACAATACAATTAAATAATATCTAAAAAAGATTAAAAATTAGAAGGTATAAATGAATCAAAACAAAATGCTGGCTACACAGCAGTAGTATCACAAAAAGGAGAATCACTCAGCATATGCTGTCATTTTAGAAATTCCACACACAGAGAAAAAATAATAATAATAATTATATCATGTTTATTCTCAGTGAACCTAACCTCCGTTTTGAGTATATATCTAGTATTTATAAGACCATAATGAGAGTGTAGTCACTTTCTCTTTTTGCATTATAGAAACTTTCATACAAGTGTACAGTAGGTATTGACACTATATAGTGAGCATACCTTAACTTTATCCAGGTAGTTGATGACCCTATTCACGTAGTATTCTTCCCGAGCTCGGTCGTAGGCGCCGGTCCACAGCGGGGCCACGTTGGACGGGTAGAAGTAGTCCCTGGCTCGACCTGACTCCAGACTGAAGTCCAGCCACGCGCCCACCTCCTCGTGCCACAACACCTGACACACACACACACACATATACGACTGTACGTGTGAGGATGTTTGAGTCTCTCACATAAAAACTATTGGATTAAATTTCATTAAACTTGTCAGCGACGTAGCTTATAGGTGAAAATACATATAATAAGGGCTCTGTGGGTGCGGCGGGACACTTCATAATTTTTGCGTGTTGTATGAAGTCACGTGACACACACAATAGACGTTGATGCGTGTTAATATTTGTTTTTCTTATAAACATTTATAACAATATTTGTAAGAAAAATATATTTTTTTAATTGAAATCCTATTTGAGTTTGTTAGTTCACAAATGTTCTTGACATTCAATATATTTATTTATTTGGTCAGAAACTTTTACTACACTTTACATTATTCATATTGATTTGACATTTGTAATTCTTTAATTAAAATCTTATATATCCAAAGAAAATCTTGGCCGCACTTGAAACAGTAAATATATTGTTGTGTTAATTACGAGTGAACAAATGATCCATCCGACTACAAGTCAGATACTGAACTGTGTCAACATAAAGGTATGTTCGTATGTGTGTAACGGTCGTATAAAACTACCAATACATGCAGACCCGAGTGCTTTCATTAGTATAATTAATCTACCTGTAGTTCTGGTTACCTTCTCAATGGCCTCCATTAGTCGCGCCCTCACTTCTCTATAGTAATCAGCGCGGGACGTGTCCCCAAGCTTCGCGTGGAACTCTGACAATAAACCGGCGTTCCAACACAAGATGGCGTTCAGGTCCACCGGGATTATGGAGCGAGTCTTGAGGTTGGTCAGGTTACCTGCACATATACACCACTTATATTAAGACTTCCTTCAGGCTTAGTATTAGGTTTAAAGAAGTTTATTTCCAAAAAGAACAGAGTTCGCTTACGAAGGAAATTTTAAAAACTATAACTACAATTAAAATTACAAATAATAAACAGTACTGATATTATACAAGATCAGTGAAATCTTCTAATATATGGGTTCTTAATCGTTTTTTAAATATATTTAGAGATTTTGAATTGACAACACTTAGAGGTAAAGCATACAGCTGTGCTCCTTCAAATGAAATAGTTTTAATGCCGTACTTGGTTCGAGTTTTAGGTGTTTCTGGTATAAAATTATTCAACACGTGCCACCTGGAGATACAACATGTATAGTAATGAAGGTAGTGTTCTATAGATCAGTTGTACGGTCGAGTGGATACCTTTATTGGTTCCGTTGAGTATGAACCACCGGGAGGAGAAGTCCCAGCCGGACTCCGCGCCCGCCTTCAGCTCCGCGTACAGCTCCTCCTTCAGCTCGCGACTGTCCAGGTGTCTGACACACAGAGAACATACACACTGACATCATGACAGTACCTCACTACACTAAAGTGACATCATAGGACAGGTAAGGAACTCAGTGATAATAGATCAAACTCAATGATAATAGTTCAATACTCAGTAATAATAGATCAGTAGTGTGTGTGTGTGTGTGTGTGTGTGTGCGTGTAACTCACTTGGCACAGTCTATATCCTCCTTGTAGCTCTCCGGGCGCGGTCCCTGAGACATGTCGTTGTATCGAGCCATTTGATACCTGTAACGTCACAAAGCCATTCATTATTTTATAACTGTATATATCCTAACACCTTCATGTATCAGTATCTTCTATATATATAAAAATGGATTGCTGTTCCTTAGTCTCGCTAAAACTCGAGAACAGCTGAACGGATTTGTCTTATCTTAGTCTTGAAATGTTCGTGGAGGTTCAGGAAAGGTATAAAAGGTGAGAAAAATTGAAATTATTGCCGGGAAAACCCTAAAAACAGTCCTTTTCTATTTCCCATACAAACGCTTTTATTGACATTAGATTTGACAACTAACTAATATGTCAATCATTCTGTTTGATTGAAACAGGAAAAACCTGATTATTTATGGCCTCTAAAACGGAATAGAGTTCGCCTGGTCAGCTATACATATATTACTAATGACGAAACTAACGCGGACGAAGTCGCGGGCAAAAACTAGTTTATAATAATAATAATAATTTCTTTATTGGCAACATAGGCCCAATTGTTCGTATTTTTACTTATAAAACTATGTTAGTCTAATAATAATAATGTCTAAATTAACAACATATTTCAAATTAAATATTAAAAAGATAGCGACACACCAAACGGATACCACATAATTTATGTTAGGAGTAACAATCTCTAACGTCCTCACTTGTTTCCGTCGTAGTGTACGGTGACCGTGTGGTTGTTCATCCAGAACTCGAACTCCCTGTCCATGGTGTGTATGTGTGTGCGGAGGAAGCTCAGGTCCTCGAAGTCATCCATCAACAGCTTCACCATCGGGATCAGGAGCGGAGGCTGCGATCTGGGAAATTAATTCATATAAACATTATTAAGGAACTACCAAAAAAAAATCAGTTTCATAATTCATGTGGTTAGAACTAAATAGCAGTGTTACTGACAAATAACAACACCGTTCACATTTATTGAAAATGCTGTGACCGACCTAACTCGCTCATTTGTGAATCTATTGATGAAAGTACGTGTCACTGACACAGGTTTGAATGCTTCTGATATTTATTATTATCTTAGCCTTTAATAAACTTCTGTTGGGAGAAATAAATAAAGGAAGGGAAGGAGAAATTAATATTGTTTCCAAATTTCCAAATTCATCAATTTCATTCTCTAGATGTGTACATACTGTATATTATTTAAATTATTGTTTAGTCTCTATTTATATTGTTTTTTGTGTGAAATGTTTTAATTTCCTTCTATTCACAGTTGATTCACTGTATCCTACATCCTCTATAGCGACCATCTGACACAGTAAATTATATTACAACTAATGTTTATGTGAAGAAGATAATTCCTTACCTCATGAGGTAGTAGATTCGTCCTCCGTTAGGTATGAACCCGAACCTGTCCACTATGTCCAGGAAGTTAGAGATCATTCCCATGGCGGTGGACCTCATCTCAGACAGAAGTAGACCCTTGATGATCCAGTATGAGTCCCAGTAGTAGAACTCACGGAACCTGCCGCCTGGCGTTACATGATAATGATAGATATTGATAATACGACTTGGACAACTAAAACAGTTGTTGTAAACTGGTGAAAACTTGTAACGTACGAGTAACATATTAAAAAAATAAATGAACATCGCCGGGGCGATATCGTTGTATATATAAAATGTCATATAACGAGTGACGCCGCTGACTCCACGGAACGAACACCAAGCCGTGTGAACCAGAAGATTCCTGATACCACATAAGCTTTGGAATGGTATTGCTATCCTAACATCGGGACAATCATGTTGTCCTAAGTATAGGTTATAAGTTTTAACATGTAATTCTCATCATTAGTAATCTAAGTAAGTTTAGTAGTTTTCCTGAAACCTTCGGTTGTCACCCTATATAATTAACCGATAGATATTTGTGTGTGTAAGTATTGTTTTCGTTGGCGTTTCATTATAATACCTGGCACAATGACCGGGTTGTGTACGTATATGATGGAGTAGAGGTGCTCGTTGTGTTTCACGTCGTCCTTCATCTTCCTGCCGAGCTGAAGCCACAGAGCGTTCAGGTCGGACGCCCACTGGTGGAACTGAGGGTCCTTGATGCGAGACAGGAAGGCTGGAACCAAGAAACATACCTACATATATAACATGGACAAGCAAATATATATGGACGCGAACAGGATTGAACCCACAACCTGCGGAACTTCGCATGAACAACTTGTGATGTTTTTCTTTTTGTGTGATGTTTTTTTTCTCAAGGATAAGAGCTTTTTAGTTTTTTGTTCTTATAATTTCATTTATTTATTCTCGTATGCACGCATTTGTGTATGTTTACCCAATAGTCATGGGCCATCTGAAAATCAGTGCTGTGCATTAGCTCAGCTTATACTGAGATGAACCCCTTGCTTCTACATTGTATTCTTTAAATTTAATTATTTTCTTCTGTATAATCGATGTAATGTATGTGTGTAGCAAATAAATGGTTTAAATGGTTTTTAACTCGATACTGGCGGACGGTTTGGGTTCTAATCCCGTTCGTAACCATGAATTTTCTTTGTATATATACACACATATGGGAAGAAAATCAAAACACAAACTGCTTTGGCCAGCAGTTTAGATTGTATATTATTAATATGTCAAATATACAAAAAATATGCATTCTTTGTTTGTATCTTAATCACTTCAGACAATTTGTCGATAAAGTATGGAAAATCATAAATTATCCCTCATTGTTTATTTTTAGACCAATTTCTTATCGACTTGTTTATTTTCATAACGAATTATTAATGTTAGTAAACTTACAATGTTATCTACTGTTGTTTGAATATCTTTATCAAATCTATTTATTAATTGTCTGTTTAGTTTCAAATACAACGTCTGATAGCGGTCACTGTGGGAACTTTTACAACTCGAAGGAAAATAAATGAGAACTTTAAACTTAGCTTGACTATATAAGATGGACTCTAGCGTGTTAGTTCAACAAACAGATTAATCTCACTATACGATGTAATGTTCATGATCTGTAGATGGGTTTATATAAAATTCTACAAGTCATTAATTCCTCTTTACCTGGGTTATCCTTCCAGTCGGTGGGTCTCCAGTCTTCAAACTCGGAGCCGGCGGGGTCAAAGTTATTATCAACGAACTCCTGGATGTCAGCTTTGGTCGGTCGGTCACTCGTCCTGGGAACACATTCAGCGGTCAGCCTCACCGGCCATGTATATACAGTAATACCTACCCCGCTTTACGCGAGGGATACGTTCCGAAGAAAATCGTGTTAACTGAAATTCGCGTATATCGACGTTTATGATTAAACACAGTCAAAATTTAATATGCAAATATAAAAATCATGTTAATCAATTACTTTAATTCTAAGAACACTATACAATACATAGGTACTCCTACTTTTTACGAAAAAATACATGTATTGTCTTTTTTTTGGGTAGCGTTTTGTTAACGTTCTTGTAAAATACGTTCATAACAACCAACACTATTTTTAATTGTTTGCCACACGTTCAAGACACGGTCATCATTATTGTCTATAATCTACAATATCCAAACCTGCATAAATTTTTGAAATTCGCGTTATAGTGAAACCGCGTTAAGCGGGGTTATTACTGTATATCGTATCGGTGTCGTGTCGTTACCTGGCCATCATCTCGTGGAAGTGCTCCATGGTGATGTTGGCGGAGAGTTTCAGTTTCATGTCCACGAAGGTCTTGGAGTCCTTGTACAGGCCCGCCATCTGGACCGTGTCCAGCAGCGGTCCGTGGCAGTAAATCATACTGGACACAAGCAACACAAAAATAGATTACATTACAGACACAAAGTACACGCTAGTGAACTATCTTGATTGATGTTTGAATCAGTTGTTCCTAAAGTGTGTTCCGTCACGGGACTTCATTAAGATCTCTACGACAGATTACATGATTTATGTTTAACGCATCATTGAAACTCGTGAACTTTAATAGTTTGTGGTTTTGCAAGTAATAATATAAAATCATATCATAAGACGCATCAACAATATTTATTGTACAGTATTGTGCGACTCTTAAGCAAGTGTCCAACTTTTTTTTCATGATCATTTATATTGTATTTAGCATCCAATCTTTAAAGAAGATCGTAATGACTAATGAGCATCATAAAACATTTATAGTAATTATATAATGAGGTCCTTGAAACAATCGGAATCATAAATACTATTATTTCTATCATAAAAAATGTTATTAAAATCTGATCTTTATGTGTTCTATTGTCATAGTCCAGAGAGACTTGAGCTTCTTATTATTCATGGTACGTGTTTAGAACACCAGGGAATACTTAAAGGAGATCCGCTCGGACTTAAGACTACCTTCATGTTCCTTCTCAATGTAATCTAACTTAAAATTTAACCATTTTTATTATTATAAGAAACATTGTGTACTGTATAGTCACACATACACCGCGAACTGTAACGTTTTTTAAGTTAAAACAAATTATTGAATACGTCAGGTTCTTGCGTTAAATAATATGAATAACGCCCATCGTTCTAATGAGTCCGAGTGTATGTACACTGTGTCTGCTTTATGTTCTGACTATAATACCTAACATACTCTTTACATAACACTGTGGCTGTGTTCCAACACTGACCGTCACCTGGTCAGTAGTAACATTATATCAACGGACACACTTCCTACGTACAAGGTCTCAAACTGTTCCGGTAAAGTGTTCTTATATGTATTTATCGTCTTTCTTAGAGTGTACGAGATCTTACTCAAATCTAAATGTTGTTCAGTCAGCATCGTACAAATCAATGCATCCTAAAAAATGTAGCATGTTTCAAAACAATATCTCTTCGTTTATTTTTTACAATAATAAAATGACATATTTTTTTTGTTCCGGTCTACTGATAATATTGTTTGTAACCTTCACTTTAAATGATTTGATACATATTTAAAATATGTTATCTTATTTGTTGTAGGATTTAATGAATATCTAAGAAAAAAATATGATATAAATTGTATCTAACGATATCTAGAGCATTTTTTAAAAGGAATTAGGTACTCAAAACATATGATGTTAAACATCAACAATAGTAATAATTACTAGTTTATAAATAAATGCTATTATTTTCATATAATATTGTAAATATCTTTTCCTTTATGTTATAATTATAATAAAGATAACATTGAACCCGATGGGGAATTAGATCAATTTGGAGGACGTTTGTTGTTTGGAATAACTGATACAAGATGTGTTCGTGATGATGTGTGTGTGTGTGTGTGTGTGTGTGTGTGTGTGTGTGTGTGTGTGTGTGTGTGTGAGTCTCACCTATCACAGGTTGGCGGCAGCTTGGTCCGGTCACCGGCGACCAGCTCCATGGCCACTATCATTACAACTATAAGTTTCATTGTCAGTATCACTATGGCACTTAGCTATATACACTAATATCACAAGTAGCAGGTGTAGTTCCAGGAGCAGAGGATCCTCTGGTCTACGTGTTGAGGAAGGTGCTGATGATCCTGCAGGGCGTCCGTCTCCACAGGTGGATCATTGTGTTAAGAACACGATCATGAACAGGCCGTACGAACTGAAAATAAAACATTATAACACTTAATATTGGATTTATAACTTATAATCATTGAATTAAAATTTAATTTTCTATTCCAACACGTTCAGTAGATGTTGTTATGATAAATATATAATGCATAAAAACTAAACCTGCTTAAACTCAGTGCAGTGAGATTAGAAAGTGATGTAAGTCATAGATTTTGTTTTATCAGAATTATCATCGAATTCACAGTAATCTTCTGTTTTATATGTGTATACAAAAAGAAGGAGCAGTCTTTAGAATTAGTGCTAACTCAAGAAGCTGACTAAAGTTTTATTTATTTATGCTAACACAGTAAATATTGGAAGGCAAATAAAGTATAGTAAAGTAGTAGTAAGTAAAATAGGATAGCGACAAGGTGTTAAGAAGAAATATATATATACTAGAAGACCCGGCGACCTTCGTATCGCCCTATAATCAAGAAATACCTGTTACGTTTTTTTATTTATATTTTTGGAGTTTACCTATTAAAGCCATAAATCTCCGTGTTTTGAAGTGCGACAGAATGATTGACTTATTAGTTGTCAAATCTAATGTGAAAAAAAAACGTATGAACAACTACTAATAAATTAAAAATTAATTAAAAAAACATTGTCCAGCGGACAAAATTGTGAATCTAAACAATTCCCAGATCTCCTTCAACACACACAAAAAATTTCATCGAAATCGGTCCAGTCGTTTGAGAGAAGTTCAGTGACATACACACTCACAGAAGAATTATATACATAAAGACATATACAGGATGACTGGTGAATTACTATCGATATTTGAGGACGTGGTAGCTGACGATCATATATGACAAAATAAAAATTAATATAACATAAATATTAATACACTTCTAAGTAAAGTTAACCAAAAGTTATGTAATTAATTACGCATCGTGTGAACACCCTACAGATTAGGTATACACACACACGCACACATAGGCGAGCGGCGGCGGGGTGTTGTATCAGCACGCCGCCGCACGCGTCCACACTTGGAACACTTGGAACGTGTCAACACTTTATTTATTTATACGAAAATTTGGTCAAAAATTAAGTACCTATTTTTTTTACATAATTCGAATGAGAATCATGTACCGAGTATTCTCCTTAAATATTGATAGTAATTCACCAGTCACCCTGTATATGTAGACGTAGAAATAATACGCGTACGAGTATAAACGAAGGCAATGTCAAGGTCCCGCGTATAGTGACTACAACACGGACTATACAACGATAGGAGAGAATTTAACCGCGATTTAAAATTTAAAATAATTAAGTTATTTTCATTAATGTCAACATTATTTTGTAGGAACTGTAACAAGATGTTTTGTAAATCTCAATCTGTTATTTCAATGCTGTCTCCGGGTGTGACTACGATGTGTCTCTCCTCTCAGTCACTCTTAACCTGAGTGGAGATTTTTTTGTAAACTATAACCGATCGATATATTACCAGATGTTATGACTTCGGTTGCAATATTTTTGTTATGCAATAAATACGTAAGCATCGCGTATAATTATAATAGTACATGTATGTATGTATTGTACAACGTCGACAGAACACAAGTTACATTACAATGTCGGCGATTTTATAACTCGGTTAGAAAACATGATTTAATGATGACTCGACTGAATTGAAGACGCCTCGTGGACTCTAAAAATAACTGAAGTCATGTTGTGTGAACATTATTTTCGGACGGTTTTAAATACATTACATATCCTCATATAAAAATCATACGATGATTTGATAGTCGGCACTGAAATGAGGATTTGGGGTCCCGGAGAGGGGAACAGACCTGGCAGAATTGGTCTTCCAGTATTCATGGATCCCCTTTGTAATATAGATATTAATACGTTTATTCAATGCTACGTGGCCGTTTTTATATAGAGAGACTCTTAAAAAACCAACTTAGAGAAAAATTGTAAAATACAAGACTACTTGTACATAGTAAATAAAGATACATGGCAATAAATTTTAACAGAAAAGTTAAAAATCGTTTATAATTACAAAATTTAGCGATAAATATTATTAAAACCATATCTGAAAAATAATTCGACTTTTTTAAGTGTTGTTGAGTCTTTCAAATGGTTTTAATGAATAACAAATGCAAAAAATCTACAATAATGGCATTGCTGTTAATTAAAACGTACGAAAAGAGAAAGAATGTAGATTGTCACCTTCAAAGAAGGTCAGGGACCAGCTCGAGGAGTAATGGTTGGTGTTAGGTGACGGAGAACAGGAGATTTGGAGGGGAGCTTAGTGAACGAGGCGCGTGTGTAGATCATAACAAATGATTGGAAGGTGTCACACATACACTTGACGGTCTAATTTAAGAATTATTGCGAGGAATGTCGTTTTAAAATATCAAATACAAAATTTTGCACGCGGCTCCGCTAACGGTCATCGAGCCAAAAAAAATAGCATTGTGCTGCACTGTGCTCTTATCCACGGTAATTCATTCAGGTGTGAACAAGGAAATAGATGTAGCGGTAGACCAAGTTGCTTTGGATTTTATAGTCAATTTGAAAAGTTACAAATATTTTGTACAAAAACGAAAGGGTTCAAATGAACTTCTCCAAATCATTAAGCTTTTGAAAACGCGTCATCAACTGTGAGGCGATTACTTTGTAAAAGCCAGTAATAAGTTGACCTTGAGAAGTGATAGCAGACTGAACCGTCTTTGAAGTGTCACTACACCCAGCACCGCGCCCCTCAAACTTAGCATTCTGATAGCAACACGTGTCCAACTAAAGGTCACCAGTTAGACCAAAAATAGATCGAACCAAAGTCATCACATTAACATAATAATTAAATATAATATGTCAAAATATTCCACGTATTTAAAACGTCCATGTTGTGAATAGCTCACGGCAGTAGCGCAGAGAGTGTAGTCTTCCGTTGATTTACGACCAATTGACTCCGCGGCAATTGAAAGATTACTGCTTACCTTTAACCAACCTTGGACGAGAAGACGCTTTTTCACATGAACTGGAATACTCTTTTATCATCAATACATATCATTTTAAAATCACGGCAGTATGTGTCACAACGGTTATGTACTCTATTTTATATATATTTCACTTGTATTAGACTCACAATAAATGATGAAGAAAATTCCATCAAACCCATGCCAATTAATTGTTACTTGAGAGGAATGAAAAATTAAGATTGTTGTTATGATGTTGTAAAATATAAAGGCCTATCTGGAGAGGACTGAAGGTTCTGAAACATCAGGAAATATCAGAAACGAGATGGAACTTCATGTTAAGGAGAGACTGTAATGCAGAGCTCTAAATTAATTAAAACAACAGACGCACGTCATCAGAACTATTAAGTGTGACAGATCACGTGTGTTACACCCACACACCCCTTCACCCTCACCCCGCTCACCCACCGACAGACATCCTGTCACACACCCCTCGACGTCACATCTATTATGGAAGTCGGATGATCGAAGGAATTACAACTATGCACATTGTATTGTACTGCCAAAAACACACATGAATCATCTCTATCTCAACAAAATTTTCCTAATAAAAAGTTCAGATATATAGTATATGAATGTGTGTGTGTGTGTGTCTTATCAGGGTTTCAAATAATTTTTCCATCCTACGTGACTTTCATTGCCATAAAATATTGCCATAATTTTTATTGTCATGAACCTAACATTAAATTAAATATAGTTAGGGGTGTGCTGCATGTCTGTGTGTTTTTAAATACCTGCTAATTGTGTACAGTTGTTGTAACATGTATGATTTTGGCAAGTTCTGTACGATGTCCGTTAGTGGGCGCGTCCTCAGAGTGAATTTAGAACTGTTTAGACCTAAACTTGGCATCGCCCGTTGGCAAAGAACATTACTCGATACCGAAGATTTGATAAAGTCAGCTGATGATGATCACCTCCTCACACATCATTAAACACTCAATGATAGGTAAATGTTGAATACATTAAACTGTTATGTAATAAATAATAATATAAAGTGTTCGTGTTATGACTTGTAAAAATAATTATAAATCCCTTGCCATTGTCATATAAGTAATATTTACGCACCTAAATATTATAATGATGATACTGTAAATAATTAAATCTTTAATCAGTAACACACAAACCTAGCGAGTGCCTTTTGCATGGATTATACTAAGAGAAAAACGTGTGCGATAAAATTTCCATAGTGACGTGTTGTAAATATTGAACATGTCAGAGATTAAGAAAATTAAATGCATAACAAAATAATTGATGAGGTCAAAAGAACTTATACGGAATTAGTTATTTTTAACGTATTTTCTCTTGAAAATGGTTGCTTGTTTGACGCCAATGATTAACTTTCCCTATGCCTATAAACACATTCCCTCCAAAAGCAACAACATCTATCTTTTATCTTTTGTATTTATTTGCTGTAGGCAGAGATGTTTAATTTTACCGGTCTTTTCCCCAACATAATGATAATAGTATTTTGAGAAAAATATGTGTAACTGTATTCCACAGAGATGCTACTAATATAGAATATGTACCTTTTAAAATGTTTTTTTTTTTTTTTTGTAATCGAGATTAAGGTTTTTATAATTTCTAAAACACTCCAGTACAGTCCACTTTGAGTCAAAAAGACTTGGAATTTATAAAAGGGTTGTGTGCTTTTTTGTTTTGTATAAATTTCTGTTTTTGCTTAGACCCGGTATTATGAAACCAATTTTTATTTGAGTTTTAGAGTTGGATTAAATACACGCCTTTTTTTCACTATGTCATGTAATAATTTTTTGAGCGATGATTCCTAACAATTACAAAAGCAATAAACTCCTTAACTCTCCACTTTTTTTCCTTTAAATTCCTTTACTTTTAAGGGGATAACACTCTAGAGTAGAGACCAACAGACCTTCAAGTTTCCTGGCAGTAACTACTAACTAACTACTACTATACTAACTACTTATCCAACTAAAAGGGAGAGCATCGAATTTGCTTTCTTTTCAAAATAATTTAAAGATGACATCCATTCAGTGAGAAATGAGTTTAGTTTATTTTTTTTAATGCTTCTGAATTCATTTGTCTTATTACTTGTATTGTTTGATTTACTCACTTTCGTAATTTTTATAAATAAATTTAATAAAATTATATTAATAATAAATGACCTCGCCTATCTAAATCATCGGAAAACGATTTTATAAAGTCACGCTCTAATTTAAAATATTTTGAATATCTGATATCCCAAATATTTGTGCAAAATTTTTCAATCTATGTTTTTCTCCATATTAATCCAGAGATCATTCCATCGAAGTCGACCTAATCAGTATGGTTCCAATATATTTTTATTTGATAACATATTTTTCAGTTTCGTGAAAGTGTAATGAAATATATCGTTACAGAGTTCATTAACCCTGCTTCATTAAATGTACACACATAGTCCGAGGACGTGACCTTCACGACCCTGATAGGAATGTAATTATTCAGAAATCACTAACGACAGCCAGCAAGCAATGTTACAATACCTGTGAATGAAAAATTAGTCTGTTTGTTACAATGTAACACGTAAACAACAGTCTCGAGAACCCTGTATGAACAGAAAGACCGATATGAATTAAATGTTATATTATATGTATTGTGTTATAATCGAGCACTCACTGTGTCAATATAATAAAAACTATTTGCTTTGAACATTTCATTATCTAACTCGCCGTGAACTATCATAGTAGGATATTGCAGAAATATAAACTTTACTTGTACTTTTCGTTAAATTAATTTCATTTCATTAACTTTTCATTTAATTAATATTCAAGTATCGGATACGTAGATACATACAGAGAGGGTTTAAATTAGTTAATACGTGAAGCAAAATATGTTTCGAGAAGAAAAACTGTCGACGAAAATGTTACAAATGATTCTTATATTATATAATTTGCGTATTATTCAATTGGAAATGTATTTATAGAAGACTGGACGTACGGACTGGCCGGAGAGACGTGGGTGTAGGCAATGAGAGGGAAATTAGCTTCAACTGACACAACTTGAAGACAATACATAGTATAGGTTGGACACAAATGACACTTGGAATATGTAAGAATGTAGATTACACGCTGCGCTCGGTAAAAATATTTTAATTAACCATATAATTAAGTAATGTTTTACAAAAATAACAAACAAGAATAAAAAAAACATGATGTATTGCGAAAACATGACAACACACAACACACAACATGACAGACAAGCATTTACATCTACTAATAACATATAATTTTTTGTTCAAGGTATAAGTAAATTGCAATTTTTCTCTTCGATACCCTTCAAAGTTTTCATCTGTCAATAAATTAGTTATTCTTTGTGACTTATATATTTTCCAAACATAACATATCAACAACTAGCAACGTAAGGTTCTCTATCTCTCACCATGACCTTGTACTGTGAAACCAGTACGAGCCACCTCCCTGTGACTACCGATACATAGAGAAACATGCAAATTAAAAAGCAAATTAAATACTCAGCGAAACGAAAGGCAAAAAATATATAGACTCGACGTCAGAATGTGAAGTTACAGAAGGTTGCTATTATAATATTTATCGACTAACTATGAATATTTAACGTCATTTTAATTTTTTTATATACTAACATATATACTTTTTTCTCTATAATCGGATTCCATCGAACCTAGATCGTGTACAGTAATGGATCGAGCACTCGACCGTCACTTCAAATAATGTTTATAAACTCATATAAAGAGATGGAGTAGAAAAAAAATCCGATTATAACACCGTCCTGCCACGTGCGCGAGATTAGACCCTGCGCTGTACGTGATAAGGTTTCAACAGTGACGGCGGGCGCGTCACATACAATGAGCAGCGGCGGCTGAGATCAGGAAACAGAAAACACGAGCAGCGGCTGCGGCGGACAGGACCGTGCGAAAATAACAATATACAAAGAAAGGTATACAGAGAGGACGCGACCGGGCTGGGGATACGGGGGAGGATGAAACAAACACACAACTCACCTACAGACAGTCGAGAGAACCAACACACACGACGAGCACGACACACGGACAGCTACGGACGAACTGACAGGAGAGAGGCGCGACCGCTCGGGCTCACGGACGATTATCAACTGACTCAAATATGATTGTTTCGCGATGTATAACGACGAGGACACACACACACACACACACACACGAAGCACCATCAGCAAGCGAGTGAGTGTGTGTGTGTGTGTCGAGCAAATATAGTTATAATGACGTTCTGTGAACATCGTCCGCGGAGGGATGAGGAGGACTAAGGAGCTGGTCCGCGGAGAATGTTACAGGTCCAGAACATTACGTAACTATGTACGGCATTGCGAGGACTTCAATGTCGATACGGGTTTGATTGTATATTAACAGCGTGATTGCTGAGGTAAGTTTCCACGGCGGAATGTTTTCTCTCCGCTCTCCGAGACGCCCTCTATCAGCAGTCGCGATAACGTCTCCTGTAATCTCTACCTGATCTATGAGAGCGCACGTCCTCATCTCCGAACCCTGCCTAGACCATGTTTCTAACATCTTGGTGTTATCTTTCATATTATTATCCTGGTCTTAACTCTCCGCCGTTAGTCAGTTTATAGTCACTTCCTTTTCATAACATCGGCAGTTTCTGTAAATTATTTTCTATATAATATTGAAGTCAGTTCGTCGTATAATTTTAATTTTCCTTATAATGATATTCACTCATTTAATTCTACCTCCGCACCGAATGGACATCAAGCCGATGAAGCGCTTTAATTTACTAATAAATTCTTAAAGTAAATTCCTCCAGCGCGGCTGAGTCGCTTGTTTGTCTGTATTTATCATCTTCAACGTTCTTAAACCCCATTGGTTCTTACAACCTGCGGCCATCGTACGATGCTCCGACTGTACTCGTATTGTTTTTTAACATAGCATTATTTTCTAATGTCACTAAATTTACGATCGATGGAAATAACCAATAAAAAATCAATAAATTCGTGTAATTAAATAAAAAAATTATGGTTGATTAGACTGACTGTCTATGTTCATTATAAAAGTTATAAAGAACTTCCTTATAGAGCACATTGAACTGAAATGGTCGCTAGTGATCTTGAACCGTTATAACAGGTATAGGTATAGCTAGGTAGGTAAAGGACTCATTGAGGTCATAAACAATTAATTTATATGAAAGTACACTATCACGACGCTAACTACTACAAAGCACTGGAACAGAGAAGACATAAGAATTGTAACTGTAAATATTTTTACCAATCCAATCCTTACATCATTAGCGACTACATCAGACAGACATATATAGTATGGACTCATACGATAGTTGCTGAACACGTTTATCTCCAATAGTATGTTACACACAGTAGTGTGAGATCGATTTTGAATAACGTGTATGAAAACGAACCAACTGGCAGAGAAATGGAACAGTTCATCTGACTCTCGATTATCTCATTGCATACATAACTTCAATAAGTATGACGTGTATCTACTGTATGACCTAGAGCGACCCATTGGAACTGACTACCGAGAAATGTGTTTGGAGTGTCCTAAAGAAACGGGCTCGAGGTACGTGACTGACCGCACGGAGACCCAACTGACGAACTGAGGGGGCGGCACGGAGCATCAGATACTATAATAAATGTTTAAATAACGACCATAATACAATAATTTGAATCACCTTCATAAAGCAGAAAGTATCAGCTGTATTCGTCGTGAGTTACCCTTGAGAGATAACGTGCCCGGGCCGGCCGTGGCGAGCCTCCCGGACCTCGACTCCTCATTGGTGGAGAGGAGCGAGCCTCCTGACGTCACAGCGTACCGCAGTTGCATTATACAGAGAACCGTTTGATACTTTCATCTCACACACACACACGCACACTCACACACACACACACACCACTGTAGATTGTTTCAATGCACATACAACGACCACTAATAACTTGTACAAGAGACATTTATTATTAACATATAGCTATGGTCGTGTAGACCAGGTTTTAGTCGTTGTTTAAGTTCGCTGCAGTTGTTGTTAACTTTATAGTCGTAAACACCGTCCTCTCTGTGTAATAAACTGACACATGTCGGAGGTGTGTTATCAACACGTTAGGTCCTATCGTTTATTTCGCATTTTTTTATAACTTTTATATTGATATAATGATATTAGCTCTGGTCTTAGGTCGCTCTGTTTCCGCATTATTCCTCGCTCGGTCGTCCGTACAACCGGTTCTAAATTAGCTTTATATAATTTAAATCACACGAATTAACATTTAAGTTATATATTTGATATTCAACATGTTGTTTATAATGTCTCCATCTCCTTATATTGACCTATTTGGCTGACTATATCATAAATTCTTGTAATTGTTATTATTATTTTCTTAAATATTCTGAGGAAAACAGCACTCATGAAACTGAATTGTAATGATTCATTATAATATTTAAGAACACATAGAATATATATCGACGTGTATACAGACACAAACACATGTATATACATGTGTTTGTGTGCGTTATTTATATCTGTATTCCAATAGCTATGTGTATGGTAAATCGCCTTACTAGACTTTAGGTTACAAAATTACCTCTGAATATAAAGTGGAGATCCTTGACTTGATAGAGGTATTTAAAGAGGGAGAGAGAGAGAGAGAAAAGGACGAAGAATATATGGTATAATAATCATCTTGACGAAGGTTTCCATGTAAAAAATATATAAACCACACAAGAAAGTGATCAAATTCTTGACACCGATTCAGAGTACCATTCCCTTACAACAAGCAGGTGTATACAAAGTACAAACTCGATTGTAACTGTGGCTTATCATACATTAGACAGACAAAGAAAAGCATCGGTATAAGGATTAAAGAACATGTCTCAGATATTAAAGGAAGGTGTGCCTCGAAGTTAACAGTGTGTGAACACACAATGAATACACCAGTCCACTACATTCGGTTTGACAAACTACAGATCCTCAATCGTGAAGACAGGTACGTAAGGAAAAACATCCTAATTGCAAAAGAAAAGACGGCTGGAATTTATCTAAAATTTATAAAATCCCATGTCCGTCCCTTCAAGATGTCTAGACAACATAAGCAAATTCTGCTTGAGTCCAGAACGATACACTAGAAAATATAAGAAGTCGTTCTCGGTATATGACAAATAACAAGAATAACTGACACACACTTTCATTTTGTGGTCGTGATCACGGTTGCTGTAAAGGAACCGAAACTTGGGGAACATGTAGATATAAAAAGATTTTGATATAATGCGATAAATAAAATTTAAGTATCCTTTATATTCAAGATGGCAACACTTAGAAACGTTATATATTCTTGAAGTACCTAGATCTATTAAGTACTTATATGGGGCACTTTAAATACTTATATATTTTAACTAACTTCAAAGCTATGAAGGACGTTGAAGTTTTTTTATAGTATTGCTTGCGGATTTGCTTCGCGTATTTAATTATTCTACAATTTTTTGTACAAGGGAAGACGAGATGACGGTGTCGCGAAATTAACCCAGAAACTATCTTTATTTGAATACTTTCCAAAGTCTCGGATAATATTTCATACACTTCCATTATATTTGGTAAGTTAATTATGTAAAACATAACTCTCTTATTAGTAAACGATTAAATAATTATCTCATAAACTTTATTTAGTGACTAACAGGCCCGTGTGTGTGTGTGTGTGTGTGTGTGTGTGTGTGTGTGTGTGTATACATGTAACCATATGTCTCGTTTGTGTATGTAGTCGAAGGTGTGGTGCAGTAGTACACTGTGGAAGATGCCGCTCTCAAATCGATCACCTGTTGTTCTATTATATGACAAGATAGATCACCTCAAATACTAAAATATATGTTGTAAATTGTGCTTTACCTTGTAAAAACGCGACAAAATTAACTCATCCCGAACACTAAAAGAAAACTATGGCTACTAAAACAAATTTCCAATTTGCTCCACAGTCATAATATAGAGGTTGTTAATTCCTCAAGATTTGTCATGTATTTAGGTATCGGTTTGGTATTGGTTGTTTCTGAGTATACATATGTACATATAGTGTGTTAAATAATTGTAACAAAAATTCACATATTATGTCCAGCAGCGCTATCTATGGTCATTCCTAAGTAAATGAATGTATAATCTGTTGAAGGAACGAATGAGTAATTGAAATAAAACAGTTCACTTGATTCAAAACCAGCAAAGCATTTTATTATAGTGATGACTTTCTGTTTATTATATATCTTCCTGTTCCATAACGCCAACAAATCTGATCGTCCAGCATTATAATGGAATTACTTGTTAACATAAAACAATATTTGGGTCTCAAATAATATTCAATCTTTTCAAACGAATGTGCCGTGTACTTTGTGTTATGGTAAGTTGAGAATTTAAAGATTAAAAATAGTTGCTAACAGTCTTAATACATAGTGAGACAGAACTTCTAACTTATATAAGTATAAACATTTTGTGTTTTAACCTTTTTTTAATAACTCTGAATGTTGTGTTGAGTTACGTGAATCAAGTAGTGATAAGTCTATGAGTTAGGAAGATCAAATATGGACACGGTATCTTAGTTTAACAAGAGGCTGGAACGAGATATCCACGATGAAGCAGAGTCAAATCTTATCAGTGCTTAGTCACCATCAATATATTGTGTATCACACGAAATCGTTTATTTAATAATTATAATATCTAATTATTAAGATTTCATCCCTACTAACATTATAAATGCGAAAGTAACTCTGTCCGTTTGTCTGTTACGCTTTCACGCCTAAACCACAGAACTGATTTTAATGAAATTTGGTACAGAGATAGAGTTGACCTTGAGAAAGAACATAGGATAGTTTTTATCCCAGACTTTTGAAAAGTTCTCTTAGAAACACGATATAACCGAACTCCACGCGGGCCAAGCTGCAGGCGGAAAGCTAGTTATAATATATGTCCATACCTAATGTGATACGCTTGTGAAGTTGTAACAAAACTATTGTACGGATTTAAAACAATTTTATTTCTTTCACACTCAGCCCTCCTCTGAAAATCTAACTTTGAACATAAACTTATTAATACTTTATAAGTGTTTTCTTATTAATATTATAACTTAGTGAATATGTAAGCCACCGCGGACAGAGTCGCCGGCATCAGCTAGTATGTGTGGTGGTCACGAATGCCCTCCATCATCACGTAATGTATTAGCTCCGGTTATTGAACTAATGCATGCCAGTTTCTGTTTTACGCATCGCATTCAATTGTCTTAAGAAATGAACACTTTAACAATAATAGGCGCTGACGTCAAACGAATATACACACTTGTGTGTGTGTGTGTCTGTGTGTGTGTATGTTTGTACCTACTATACGAACTGGTGTAAGTAGGAATCTATACTAATATTATAAAGCTGAAGAGTTTGTTTGTTTGTTTGTTTGTTTGTTTGTTTGTTTGAAAGCGCTAATCTCCGAAACTACTGGTTCGAATTGAATAATTCTTTTTGTGTTGGATAGTCCGATTATCGAGGAAGGCTGTGGGCTATATAACATCTCGCTAGGACCAATAGGAGCAAAGATATAGTGGTAAATGTGTAAAAAACGGGAGAAATTATTTCATTTTTGAAGCCTTCCGTTCGTGCGCCGTGAAAACGGTTCAAGATACACAAAGTATGTTCTAAAGAATAATAGCTCTTTTAATGATCTAAAAAACAGTCCGCGACAGTATATATCTATCTTTTAAGATTAACTCATAAAAACCGTTTTTATGGTACCTAATTTGGTCGAAATAATTTGTTAAGTTGTATCAAAATAATAATATTAATCTTTATTCATATAAACAAATAAATATGTTGTTGGTTAAAAGTACTTCATTATTAATTTAAAAAAAACATAGGTTTCACTCTGAAAATTCTACGGGAACTCGACCATTCCGAAAACCCCGCAAGAACGGGAACTATGTATGTGGGAAGAACCAAAAATCTGCCGGAAGTCACTACTCCACGCAGACGAAGTCGCGGCAAAAGCTAGTCAATAATAAATGCAAACTATCTACTTACTATGGGTGAATTTTCGGTGTACGATAATAATTAATTATCAATTTAAAAGTTTGAGCAATTAAAAATTAGAGCAATAATTATATTGCCAGGAGTCATATAATCTTTAATTTTTATAAATAACGATATAACTACATATATATTGCAACTAGCTTTCCGCTCGCGGCTTCGTTCGCGTCGAGTTCGGTTATATCGCCTTTCCAAGAGAACTTTTCTATCTGAGATAAAAACTATTCCATGTTCTTTCTCAAGTTTCCAATTTTATTAAAATCAGTTCAGTGTTTTAGGCGTGAAAGCGTAACAGACAGACATACAGAGTTACTTTCGCATTTATAATATTAGTAGGGATTAGTCTGCTTACATCTACAGGACGCGTCGTCGTAGTGTTCACACTACACATGGGAAAATAGTAACAAGGGGACTCTTGTTATATAAAACAAATACAAGTGAATAATGATATCTAAGACTTGAGAAACTATTAATTTAAATGATACTTATATTTTTCGGATTTTACTTCGCGTTTTATTTTATAAAACTACATATTCCTGACGTTTCGACTACTTTTCAATAACCGTGATCACGGGCGGACGAGATAGTTTCATTAAAATATAATTAAATGTTAACAGTGTGTACATGTCCATATTGAAAACTTCATAGTGGAAATGCTTATGTTAAACGAACAGCTGATACTAGTCGAACTATGTCAGCTGTAATGCGACATGCGACAGAAAAAAATAAGGTCATGTAAAAAATACTCTATAATAATGATTATGTACATAAATATTACAAATTAATTGTTTACACAACCGCGAGTAAATTCTTTCTATGTGTAGTTTTTCTGTATGTTCTAAGTCTCGTGATCACTGCGTTATTGTATCTTAAAGACCGACCGAAGCATTGTTTCTTTTCACACTTATCTCATTAAAGGAAATATTTGCCAACATTCATATCATGTTGCGTCAGTTTATTGGAACAAGTGAGTCGGCATTCGACACTCAATTATTAGCTTGGTATATTATAATTAGATATCGGTACAAGGATACGTTATCAAATACTAGTCACACTCACTTTAAATAAAATAAAAAAACTTCTATAATAAATATGGAATAATGATAAAAACTGTGACGATATTTGTAGCTCACTCACGAAAAAACTACCCAAGTTATTATGATTATAGATAGATACTTTACAGGGATCTACCTTAGACAACAGAATAAGACAATTAATTGAGAAATTCTATGAGGTAGAAAATTAAAATAAAGTTTATTGTGGCGAAAACAGTACGAAAGACTGTACGCATAAATTATAACGTAAATATGCAATTCATGGAGAAAAAATTACGAACAAAGATAGCAAATGTTTGCTGTTAATACGATTGTTATCTTTTCGATATGAAATTACTATTAAATATAGTAATCATATTCAGAAAACTCAACACTCGGTACGCCTGTAGTATGTCGACTGTCACCGACCAATCACAGCGGCCGGTGGAGAGGCGCGGCGATGACGTCACAGCGTCATGTAACGGACCGCTCAAGGTCACCTTGAAGGAGCCGCTGTACAACACTTACACTAGGAATTAGGTGTTTAATTATATATTAATATATAGATGAACTAGATTCAGTTCCACTGAATAGAAAGTTATCATTGAAACAACCGTTATACTAAAGATATGAAATACTTATTACAATTTAAATACAATCCCTTCTCCCGCCATTTCAACTCTTTTCTATCATGTGTGCAATCTTCGTCGTAATGTTTTTTTTATTGTGTATGAGTAATATTAATTAGTTCGTGTACTATATTTATTAGTGGGCGTCCAATGGCGGCACACCTCCAAATTATTTGACGTCAATTGACAATTATTGTAAACAACACGTGCACAGGGAACAAATTAAATTTGATAGTTTATAAATAAAATTAAAATAATATTATATTGATACATATATGTTAAAATTTTGGTATTGTATCAAGTGTTCACCATTAAGCAGTTACAATACATTAATGAGGCATATTTTGTTGAATACTAAACTCTAGTCAAATATAACATTGTTTTTACTGAAGACTATAATAACCTTGACATTTCACAAGAGCCGGAAAACAGATCGTAGACCGTAGTAAATAAAAAATTGAGATTCATTTAAAATTTAAATTATTCCAGTTTAATTTGATGTTTATAATATATGTACAAGTGTATGTAATGCCACGGAATGTTTTCGTAATGTATTTATTCAATATTAACATACCGAACACTGACGTTAAACACTACATGATTTCATTCAAAGATCTTTTGTTAAATACTATGAATATACCAATGTTGATGACTTGTGTGGATTTCCAACTATTTTGTTTTATTTTTGCTACTAAAAGACTTGGGCCTGTCCAGAACTATGTAATATCAAGTGAAGTAGCCTTTAATGACTGCGTTTAGCCGTTGAGTGAGAGAGACGGTTGCCGTTTTCCTTTTCCTACTCTTTATTTTTAATCCCTTTCCCACTTTTTCCTTCCCCTTTTCCCCTATTAAGGCGACAACACATCCGCAAATCTACGTTGCGGATGTCCACAGTAATGCCTCCATTAGGTAGACCGTCTACTCTGTTGCCCCCTATTCCCATAAATAATAATAATTATTATTATTCATTAAGTTGTGTTAATTAATATATTAACCTCTTTAGTGCAAAACTTATTGGAATGTATAAAGTATAGTACATAAGTATATATAAATTAAAATGCTCGTAAAACCAATATTTTTCGAATTTACCTCGCGTGATCACGGTTATGCAAAGTAACCGAAACGTCAAGAGTATGTAGACCAGTGCCGATAGCTTTTAAAACATAATTAAATTAAAGTAGAATGAAATTCATTAGAAAAGGAGGGGAATATTATAGAAATTAAAGGAAAAATAATTTACGGGCGATCTGAGGTCGGGAAGAGTATGGGGATGGGTATTTAAGGGTAAAAAATGAGTTTTCTTCGATTTTCGGCAAAACTAAAAGTCCTACGGAAAAATGTTATATGGCAAAGTTGTAGGTAATAAAAAGATCTGAAACTTTTGTATTTACACTTTTTTCACATAACCTCAAAATTTATGTGAAAAATTCAAAAAACCTAGTTTTTTGTTTTTTCTTTTTATCTCTTCTAAAAAACAATTTTTTGTCACGAAATTTGGTGGAAACTTTCCTTTTGATGTTACAAATGCACTGTAATTTATTTAATAAAAAATATTAATTTTTTCAGCTTATTTTGGATAAATACCGAAAAATCTGCGTCATTTTCAATCGAAAAATCACCCATCAAAATATCAGCTATTTTCAAAAATTTGATATATTTTCTATTTTTTGAAATCTCTATTTTCGGATTATGGAACAAAATATATAAGTTTCTTACTTACAGTACCATTTTTGGATAAAATAATCATGTGTCTTTTAATAAAATGGCACTCGATATCGGTTTTAAAATGCTCTTTCTAATTTATTTTTAATATTTGTGTACTCTGGAAGTTCTCCAGATAGTCCCTCTTTTAGGTAATTTACAGAAAATTGACATGAAGCTGCTTAAACTATTAAAAATAAATTGAAAGAGCATTTTCCAAACGATATCGAGTGTCATTTCACTAAAAGGGACATGATTATTTTGTCCAAAAATGGTACTACAAGTAAAAAATTTATATTTTTTTCTTCACCATCGGAAAATAGAGATTTCAACAAACAGAAAATACACCAAATTTTTGACTAAGGCTGATATTTTGACGGGTGATTTTTCGATTGAAAATGAGGCTGATTTTTCGGTATTTATTCAAAATAAGCTGAAAATCTAAATATTTTTTATTAAATAAATTACAATGCATTTGGAACATCAATAGAAAAGTTTCCACCAAATTTCGTGACAAAAAATTGTTTTTTGGAAGAGATAAAAATAAAAAACCAAAAACTTGGTTTTTCGAATTTATCATATAAATTTTAAGGTTATGTGAAAAAAGTGTAAATACAAAAGTTTTAGATCTTTTTATATACCTAACATTGCCATATTCCTAACATTTTTCCGTAGGACTTTTAGTTTTGCAGGAAATCGAGAAAACCCATTTTTTACCCTTAAATACCCATCCCCATACCCTTCCTGACCTCAGATCGCCCGTAAATTATTTTTCCTTTAATTTTTATAATATTCCCCTCCTTTTCTAATGGGTATGATTCTACTATAATTTATTTTCACTTTTCATCATTTTAGAGGCATCTGCACTGGCCTAATGTAGTTAATAATAATTATAAAAGATTAGTTATTCCGAAAATATATTTTTTTATGAATACTCGTCAAAGTCTTACATCTCATCTACATAAACATGTATATCTATGTACGCCATAACATGTGTGTGTATTTTGTTCAATTAATTTGTATGTCAAATAAAATTATAATGTATTTGAACAATTGACGTCACTTCATGTTCCGAGGTGTTTATAACACGTAGCAGATTCCTTTACAACTGCTATCAAAAGCATTACACAAAAATTACTTATTCTCTGAGACGAGTTGTTATTCGAAAAAATAATTAAAAATTTAAATAATTCTAAAATGCAAAGTCATAAAAAAACTTCAATATGACATGAGTTTGTTTAATTAATAAATAGTGTTTATAATAAATGTAATGATGACTACCGATCATCATACGAAGATCCTCGAATGATTTACAATCTAAATGTTGAACATGACAACACACGAATCATGCCAAAACCCCGCCACAACAATTATGAACTACATAGTTTTTCATCTTTCTCCACTCGCTGTTAAAGGTTGCTTTCTTAAGCAACCTCGCCGTTGCAATTTATTGCACATTCTCTCACAATGGCTGTAACCTTCATTTTCAGGTCAATAAAGCGTTCATTTCATCAAAAGTGACGGAGTGGAACGAGCAGCGGAAAGTAAAAGGTTGACGTGGAAACAGAGACATCTAGCGACAAGTAGGAACAACTAACGACACCTAGCGTCAAGTAGAAACAACTAACGACACCTAGTGACAAGTAGCAACAACTAACGACACCTAGCGACCAGCTCGTGAACTTTGAACACCACACATTTTTACCTTAACATGTATATGGTTTAAAAAGGTTTTGATAGGAATACAAAAAATAAAAAATTAATTAAGATATTGTAGTTAGGTAGAAAATATTATAAATATTTCAGTTTCTAGACATTCCAATTCCTAAAAACACATTCTATATCAATACACAATGATTCTTATGTTACATTTATAATTTTGAAAGTATTTTTTTTTAATATAATGGGAGTGATTTCTACTAATGTAATATTTTAAATAACACCACCTTTTATACATTTATTTATCAGCGGTATTTTATGTTAACGCAGGTTCATGCAACAGTTGCATGTATTAGATAAAGATTATAAAAATAAACAAGTTATTAATTATTATTGTAATTAAACTTAGTAAATTAAATGGAGATAAAAATGCCAATGAGACTTAAAGCAAATTATAACATAATCAATTACTAGGAAAAAGCTTAAAGAAAACATTTTTGCTGAGAACAAAAACAGTCCCATAAGTATAGGATAAAGCCTACTAGAAGCTTACTTGTAGTTTAGTTTAATCTACCAATTAGGTTAGTATACCAATAGCTTTCTTAATTAACAAAAATAATTCTTGTTAGTAAATAATGTGACCATCTATTGATCTTTGTATTATCTTAGATTTTAACTCAGTGATGTTAACACAACTTTATAACTAATCTATCGATCCTATACAAGTATATATTGCTCGACCACATACATACCGACAGATTTATTGGTAGAATTATTAATATTCTATGTTTTATTACCTTTACACTCAACTATTATACATACAGCAAAGTATTTACTTTAAGACTCCTCAAACATATGGGAAAGTTTAATGTCAGAGGAATACCTACTTTTCTATAAAATAAAAGATATAATGTAAAATTTGTGTACGATAGACAAATATCATAAATCAAAGTTATCAACCAATCTTGAAATGCTCATCAAAACACCATTTTGATCATACAAATTATATGCGTAATAGATTTCAAATTTTTGTATCAATATCAATATAAATAATAAAAATATTAAAGCAGAATCAATATACAGATGTTTTGCAATTAAAAACCATAAGTGGCATGTATCTTCTTAATTATTTCAGGTTTTAGTACTCTACAGATAGTTCTATTGTATCCAGATGTCAGAGTTAGATCTCAGAAATAAAATAGTGACAATTCAATGTTATTGATTTAAATTTAGAACGTGAAGAGTTAAATGAATTTATAACACACGCTGTCACTATTATGAAACAGATTCAAGTGAGCTAAATGCAATATGGTTTTAATTATCATTGATTACTTAAAATCTAATTTTACTCGAAACACGTTGTCAAAGAAAACGGACACAACAATAATAAATAAATAAAATTGAGTACTCAAGAGATTTGTAGAATACGGAACGGTGAAAATAAATCGCAATACTTACCAATCATGTTTTGAAAAACGAATTCATTTCAGACTATACAAACTTAATAACACAGCATTGTCACACTTTGTGTCTAACTATTACAAACACAGATTACTTTGAATTACTTTACAGTTTAGTCAATATTATTAAAGGATCGAAGTTTTAAATCATATTTACGTTATAATGATGTACGTGAAGCAAAACAGCAAAGGTTAAATGACAAACAGCTGATCAGGAATGCCGGTTCTCAGGGTTAGTGTTGTCAGCCGAGTGAATGAAATCCTTTATATTATTAATTGTTTTATAATCCTTTTTCCCTTTCTATTTCAATATAGTTTTTTTTATTACAATATAGTTTGTCCATAAATTTATTCGAAATGCTAACAACATCAAATATAAAATTCATTAAAAATAAACTAATAAAAAGAAGCTGAATAAAAAAAAATCTTATTCCTTGAGAAAAGAAACATAATTTGGATCCAAATAATATTTATATGAGGTTTGTGAATAAATTATAGTTTTCCTTTTTTTGCTTTTTTATAATAATTTAGTTCCTAATTTATTCTTTATATTGCTGGATCTCGCAGGATCTTGCTGTATCATAAGGATATAGTTATAAAAAATATTAAAATAACGCGTAGTAATCCGAAAATATTACTTTTAATTTAAATGAATACTTGCGAAAGTTTTAGACGTTATAACTGAATAGATTTTTATTGTTACGGTGCTTCCACTACTTACGATTGCGAGACAATGAGTGGAATTGTTGTTAAGTAGGTACCTGTTATCCATTCAATATTAAAAAAAACTCGTTACTACTCATCTTGATTCACGTATCTGTTTTCAGCTCATGATTTCATTATTCCTATATTTTGTTCCAACGGTATGTAAAACTCTACTTTTATATTCAGTAGTTGATGATCTACCAAGACCCTGTTGTATTTATACAGAGGGATTTTTTAATGACAAAAATATTTCTCACTAAACAGTCATTTGATGAATACCTATATTGTTATATTAAAATAATTCTACTGTTTATTACAAACAGTAAACTAGGAATGTTATAAAAAATTAAACAGTAGATTTTTTTAATATTAAATGAAATGTTATGTTTGTATTAAACCATTGCAAAAGTTGACTTTTATAGATAGTTGAATAAAATAAAAGAAAATAAAATAAGGTAATATTTGTATTTATTATTTTAATATCTTGTTCACTTTTTTTGTGTTTTTTTTCTTTGCTTCATTTTCTAATCTAATATATTAAATATTAATACTCTAAGTACTTATCACAAATAAAAAACATATAATTATACGTCAATAATACATAAATTTACAAATATACTCTTATTTTTATACATATAAACAAATATTATATTATTATTATGGTATTACATATCATTTAATGAACATACATAAATAATTAATATACTTAAACATACATATACTTGTAATATTCATTGTCCGTTTGCTAGCCATTATTAGTATGAGTTGTAATCCAAGTGAATCTAACAATATAAGACAAAATTATGGTTTGCAAGAACTAGGGACTCTGTAGTCTACAGTTCGAGGTTCTCCGCTGACTTTGGGACTCTTGCCGAGTTTGATTTCGTCTCTGTAAGATTGGAACTGAGGGTCCAGCTTGGAGCGGCAAACAACTTTTGTAGACTGGATCTTGTAGCTGCCTCCGGTACATGTGGACTGGCAGGACGGTAAGGAGCTCGTGGTTATACAGATCTGTGATTGGTTCTCATAATACTGCACTTGAGGGACTACTTTACATTTTCCCTTACTCTTTCCGTAGTTCCTTGCCCTGTATACGATGTTAGACTCCCAATCATCTTCTGACGAAGAAAGCATAGCACTTTGCCATTTGTTGTCAGATTGCAAGATTGTAGTGTATTGTTTTCGTGGCTCGTACGCGTTTCTTTTAGCTTCCGATTGCAGTTCCTGTGTCCTGGGATCATTCTCGTCTTCGATGAGAGCGTAGGAAGCTCCATAGTATTCTGGTTTATCAACGAGGCCACTGGGCGTCAGGTAGTCATCGCGGGGATCACCGCTCATTCTTCCACATATTCCTCTGATGTTCTTGCGGTTGTCTCTCGAAAGAACTACGCTCCTCTCTCCGTCATATACGATTCTGAGACGGTTATCACGCAATTGGATCATTAACACATTGTCACCGGTGCTGTAGTATTCCAGTAGCGGACTTTCGTTGACGTCATCCCAATATGTTGTAAGTTCTCCTTCAGATACCTTCTTGGCATTTGTCTTGACTTGAACAGAGTGTTTCTGTTGTGCGTCCGGAGCTGGTTGGACTTCCATCTCTATGTATTTGCCAGTGTGAGATCTGCAAAAAAATTATTTAAAAATTATTTAGAGTAAAAGTTATGTAGAGTACTGTTACAGCGATAGATTTTTTTAAATTATTTATTTAGAAATATTATTTATTTATAGAAATATTATTTATTTAGAAATATTATTTATTTAGAAATATTATTTATTTATAGAAATATTATTTATTTAGAAATATTATTTATTTAGAAATATTATTTATTTATAGAAATATTATTTATTTAGAAATATTATTTATTTAGAAATATTATTTATATATAGAAATATTATTTATTTAGAAATATATTAATTTATAGGTTTACCTGTAAGATATGTATATTTGTAATTTCTTTTCTTGAGGTCTCCTGGAGAGCACGACTAGGTCCTCGTTTCTGCCGGGCCTATCATCGTGCATCACTACGTGCCAGGAAGGTGACAGCGTGTAATCATATTCTCGGTCACTGAAGGTTCTTACCCTGTTACTGTCTACACTGCAGTATGCTATAAATAAAATATATAATAATTAACATTTTATTAAAATAAAAAACAGATTGTTTTATTAAGTCATTACTTACGTTGGTACTGATGCCAGCTGTAGTAGTTTAGAATTCGCTCATAGGCATTGATCGGCCAGTACATAGACACAGCTCTTGAAGTAACTTCAGGTATAGGTACATTGTTTACCCGCAATTCCCCAAAACGAGAATTTACGATGAGATTTAAATATCTCCTCCAGTATGAAGCATCAACGTTCAGTTCAAGTTTTCCAGCAGGTAATGTCTTAGCCATATTAATATCAGATCTCCATAAATTAAGCCCATCTAAAATTCTGTAAGCGTAAGCTGCCGCATTTTTAATCACAGGGCTGACGTCTTTGTAACTTACACTGAATTTAAAGTTGTCCGGGGCGTGGGCCATAACAAGCGCCTCATGACAGTCGTGTTGGTAATAATTACCTCTGGCATAGTTTTCAAGACATCTCTTTACTTGTGGTTCTTTCTGAAGTTCTTCTATATACTTCTTTGTTCTTTCGGCAGAGCCAAGGATGTGGATATTTTCTTTCTGATTGTAAAGAACATCGGCTTCAAAGTCCATTTTCAGTTCTTTTTCTAGTGCTTTTTGGAAATTAATAGGAGAATCTGACAGTGGTTTCGTAACTCTACCTACGGCATTTAACTGATTTGGTCCGTATTGGTCAGAGTTTCTTCCAGCATGTAAAGCAAACTGAATCTTTTGATCGACGACACTATCGCCGATTGCAAGGGTCGCAGTATACTCCAACTTCTGTTCTGTCTCGAATTTGGCGCTCAAATCAACGACGTGTGCTCTTGATGATTTTATTCCTGCTATAACACGTTTAATCAACTCCTCTCGTCGTGACGGGCTGTTGGGTGTCGAGTCTTTCACTTCAGTTGCCGTAATTGGCATAACGCCGTCTTCTTTTTGATTATATAATGTGTCTGTAAAAATAGTAAATTTTGATGAATATCAATTCTACATCTATTATTTTATATATGAGTATATGTCAATTTTATGCAAAAAGACTTTTTAAAATGTTTTGAATCGTTATTATATTTATTTTGTCGCAATCCGCGAGGAAACGCTCTACATACATATGTATTGAGAAGAAGCGACGAACACCTATTTTTTTTTTAATAAAAAATATTAACAATATTAATTATTAAAAAATATTTTTATATCCTACCGTAAGCTACTGTGATTGTGACTCCTTTGTTCTTAGATTGCTTTCCCAAGTACCTCAGGTTAAAGTGAGTTTGAGCTATATCCTTTTGCTTGAACATCCTGCTAATACTAGATAAGTAATTGTAGGACTTCAGCGTGTCTCGTATATATCTGTAATCTTCAGAATAAGAGTATCCCTGAAGTTGGAATATGGATCCAAAGCTTTGTCCAAACTTGCTATCAATCTGAGCTACTTTCTCTGGTCTCATAATAACTTTTGACGTCGGATCCTGAGATATAGGTGTTAAAGTGTCCTTTTTCTGGTTTGCGGAATATGGCCAAACACTATAATGAGCTATAGTATTATCTTGTTCGGGTTCCAACGGACTTAAATGGAACTTCACCTCTCCTGATTTCATTTCAAGTTCTATTTTAATTGGAATATTAAGTTGACTTTTTCTCACTAATCCAACGCTTGCAAGTTGATTACCAAGAGTGTCTAGAAAACCAACATTGCCATCATAATTTTCAGCGTATATTATCCTCAAGTCGCTATTGACAGAAGCAGCAGACTTATATTCCTCTCTATCCTTAAAATCGACGTTTCCTTTAGTTGCAGCACGAACATGTAGGAGAACCGGTTCCTTATATTTATAAATGAATGGTACTCCTGTAGCTATAGGGAACATGACCGACACTTGGTTCCTGTTAACAACTTTAGTGTATTGCTTAGCAGCGCCTTTGAGATTTGTTAAGTACTCTCCAAATTGAATGCCTAATTCTTTGACATCATTTTCATTGAAAGCAAAGTACCTCCTCTGATTTAGTAAATTAATATAAAATGAGGCCTCTAATGATTCCCGGTCGTCCTGTTTAACGTTTAACATGTCAGCAATCTTTTCAGCGGAGTATTTAGGATTGTATTCGGGATTTTGATCGGGTTTTCTTTGTCCAAACATCTGATCGGCGAAGAGATCAAACAGTTGCTGCCAACTTGAAGCAGCTCCTGAGATCTATAAATTTAATATCCATTTAATAAAAAGTTCCAAAAATAAAATAGAATAACTCTTATACTTTCATCGAAACTTTTAAATATAATAAAAAATAATCTCAAATTTAAATAAAGTCTACTGACTTACAAGTCATTACAATGCTATATAAAATGATAACAAAAACATAATCTCTCTACGTTACGTTCCTGGGGTTCGTTAGGTAATTTTATAAAATGATACTCTAGGAAATTTAAAAACATTATTTACCACTGTTTCCTGATCCCAACCGCCTTCTCTTCCTTTCCATGCATATCTCCAATATTTCGGAAGCAGACTATCCTTGCTTCCCATTCTTGAGAGTACTGACATAGAACTTGGTTGCTCATCCCTGTCGTAGTGTTCCAGGAAGTTTTTACCTGAGTATTGTAAACCAAACTCTTCACTTGTGAGCATATCCTTAACAGCAGCTGCTGTTCTTGCCCTAAAACAAGTTATCTCTTTATTTTATTTCATACTTAATAAACATGTAAAATAAAAAAATCACTTTCAGATACTAACAGGTCATGGAATCTTGGATTTTTAAGTTCTGATGCAGATGTAATTGCCGATTTAAGGGCTGCACGGATTTGGATACTAGGATCGTCTTTAGTCATTTGTGCCATTACCATCATCATCGCTGTACTTGGTCGTGTCATAAAGATTTTATCGATGGCTGCTGCTCTGACTTCATAGGGTTCAGCAGTATTTTTCAAAATACTAAATAACACAGCACGTACATAACCATCCCTGCCTCTGGCCAGAACATAGAGGTGTTCTACCATTCTGGTTCTAAGGTAAGTTGAAGCCGGAATTTTGCCTTCAAGATACGGTTTAAATATATCCAGGATAGCTGGGTGACCAAGTTCGCCGATGGCCTTGATATATACTTGTGATTTTCGACTATCCCCATTTTCAATAGCCAGTTGAAGTTCTTGATTCAGACGGGGAAGAATCTCATTGACAACGAAGGCATCTTCCTTAGGTGATTGACGGCCGTACATATGTGTCGGATAGTAACGATGCACGGTTTCATTGTTTACTTGTCCCATGTTTATTAATTTAGCGGCAGCGATTAGTGCAGTGTCATTAAGGAACATCTGTTTAGTAACCTCGGGGTTCATGGCGAGATCGAAGAATTGTTTCATAACCACCTTTGTGGGATACCTTAGAGATACTGCGAGCACGGAAATAACTTCCGCCGCCTCTTCTCCTTCTAATTTTTTGCTTTCAATCCAAGCCTTTATCTGTTGGAATGCGGGCAGAGTACCGGCTTGGGCGACAGCGTCTCTGTAGATCATCCACATATTAGACTTGACGACATCATTAGCCAACTTAGCAATTTCAATACTACGGCTTGTCAGACTGAGCTGTCCATAATTCATACTGGCGATCACACGAACTAGAATATTAAATTTGAAAAGAGTATCCGCTTTCGGCATATTGTTAGGGTTTTGTAATTGTTGTGCAATTTCTTGTAAAAGCTTCTGGGCATTCATCGGATTCTGTTTCTTATCACCATGAGGATCTGGGTTCATATAGAGAGAAGCATAGGCGGGTTCGTTGATATTGGGAATGTCATCGTTTACATAGGCTGAGTCTGATTCACTGGAGCTAGAAGAACCATGTGTTTCAGTAACAACCTTCTTATTTATAGAGACGAAAGATTTCATTTTACTGGAGCGACGTTGTCTCGGATGTTTCTCAATTTTTATCGACATTTCAGACGATGAGCTATCATTGATATCAATTGGTTTAGCAGTCAAAGCATATAACAAGTTGGTGACTTCACGTGGACTTTCTTGATACACCCAGGCCGGTTCATTATCATCTCCATATGACATTAAATTAAAACGTACTTTGCCGTGTACTTGTGCCTTTTCTTCGCCATATAAATGGGGATGAGCAGTGACCGTACTGGTTGTTTCAGCTTTGTATATGTGACCATTCTTCCCAACCAGCATTCTTGAGACCGTAGCACGATTTATGAATTGTTCCTTTCCAGATTTATGTGCGGTGCCAGACCATTCTGCTCCTTCTGGTACACCGAAGTGATAATCTACACGATGATGACAGTGACCGTAGTTCTTGCTCTTCGTAATTTCAATTGGTTCCTCGTCTGAAGCAAAACTGGGTAGTTCCCGTCTCCATTCAGACGCGGCAGGAGATACTGTGTAAAGAGTCTCACAATCGCCCGTCACATCGATTTCCATCTTGCGGAACAATCCCTGTTGTACTTCACTATCGTACGTGTCATGTGAGCTTTTAACATTACGATGGGTGGTGAGATCTACTTGAAGCGAACCGATTAGACCCTTCATCAAGTTTTCTTGCATCAGTGTTACAGAAAATGGCAATTTCACTGAAAGTATTCTTCCACCTTCTACATAAATCTCAAAAGGTTTGTCCAAGTTTGGTACTGGCACGTATTTAAGATCTTCCGGCATGGGATCGTGCCGTTCCAGCTTTTGGTAGACTTGGGCATATTCCGGTTTCTCCAATCTTGCCTGTAGGTAGCCTTCTGACTTAACTCGCACTGTAAACTTGGCTCTGAAAGCGTTGCCCGAACTGTAACTGTCTAAGTAACGCGCCAGGGTATGTGTTTCCACATCGTAGTGATATAATTTTCCGACTTGCCAGGGCCATGACGACTTCACGACGACGTCACTAAGTTGACCGGATGAAACGACCACTGAACAAATTATAAGAACAAATTAAATTAGAAAAAAATAATAATTTAAGCGAGCTTCGTTACATATACATTGCATTCAATTTTAAAATCAGAATTGTAATAAGTAATTGTTTATTTGCTATTAACTATATATATGTGATATATAATATAAAAAATAATGTAAAATACAGACTCACCAACAATGGCCGCTAGGACCAATAGCTTCATGATTGAAGAACCTTCCAGTCCGGTCTGGTGTCACAAGATCTTCGAGACTGGTCACCGCTCGTCCAGACACAGCTTATATAGAGATTCAAAAACACGTGTAGTTAACACTCATGATAACTACATTGTAACAGATTTATAATTATTTTAATACATTGATACGAGATTAATTGACCTCTGAACTTATTGTGAATATTACATCAAATCTGCAGAAATGCAGTTTTCAAGTCACATGAACCAGATTTAAGAACGCAGCGAACATATTATATTCTTTTAAATTTATTTTAAAACCTGTAATCTTATTTCGTCTCGTCCTCTCTTAAACACACTGTTAAAATTAAGCATAAATGGATTTAAGGAATCCTTAAGAGGTCGGACATCTGTTCGAGAAGTATTAGGGTGAAAAATTTTATGAAGGTTATACTTTTTTCAGGCATTAACATGATATTTAATATCCTTAAATGATCCATAAAATTCTTTCTTGCTAGGAATCATTTTAGTTCTGTTGATGATATTTAAATGGGGAATATAGGCCAGTGCAGAAGCCTTTAAAATTAATGAAATGTCAAAATAAATTATAGTAGAATGAAACTCATTAGGAAAGGAGGGGAATATTATGAAAATTAAAGGAAAAATAATTTACGGGCGATCTGAAGTCGGGAAGAGTACGGGCGTGGGTATTTAAGGGTAAAAAATGGGTTTTCTCGATTTTCGGCAAAACTAACAGTCCTCATGAAAAATGTTAAATAGCAAAGTTGTAGGTAATAAAAAGATCTAAAACTTTTGTTCTAACATTTTTTTCACATAACCTCAAATTTTATGTGAAAAATTCGAAGAACCAAGTTTTTGGTTTTTTATTTTTATCTCTTACAAAAAACAATATTTTGTCACAAAATTTGGTGAAAACTTTCCTTTTGATGGTACAAATACACTGTAATTTATTTGATTAGAAATAATTATTTTTTCAGCTTATTTTGAATAAATACCGAAAGATCAGCCTCATTTTCAATCGAAAAATCACCCTTCAAAATATCAGCTATTTTCAAAAATTTGGTACTTTTTCTTTTTGCTTAAATCTCTTTTTTCCGATGGTGAAGAAAAAAATATAAATTTCTTACTTGCAGTACCATTGTTGTTTGAAATAATCATTTCTCTTTTCTGAAATGACACTCGACATCATTTTGAAAATGCTCTTTCTAATTTATTTTTAATAGTTGTGTCCTCTGGAAGTTAGCTGCTAAAACTATTAACAACACACCCCCATACCCTTCCCGACCTCAGTTCGCCCGTAAATAATTTTTCCTTTAAGTTTTATAATATTCCCCTCCTTTTCTAATGAGTTTCATTCTACTATAATTTAATTATATTTTAAAAGCTATCGGCACTGGTCTAATACAGTAAGTTATATAGAATGTCATACATACTCGTAGAAGTTTCAAGAAACTCTGACTTAATGGAAATAAAACTAAAAGCAATTGTTGTCGTTAGAATTTATTAAGAATGTATGAAAGTATTATAATAGTGTGGACCCGGAGTCGACACGTTCACCTTAAACTATCAGAAGTCAAACGAGATCTAACATGGAACATTCTTATAAACTAATCTAACGAAAGAGATTCTTTGGAAAGCATCCAACTTTGTACATTGTTTCAATGACATCATTAAAACTAAAAATTGTGAGCATTTATTTATAAGTACGTGGATATATTACAAGCTAAATAAAATAATATTTTATTTCATTTTATACTTAGGATATATAAAAATAGACTTGGAAGACAATTTATGATCCGTTGCTATGTTCTTCAATATAATAATAATATTTCTGTGACACATATCATGTGACAAGAACGATCGCTTTAATTGATAATTCATATTAAATATAAATGTACAATAAACAAAATATAACTAAACAATCAGAATATTGTATTTAAAACACTTCTCCTAAAGAATTGAGCAAATATAGGTGTTACTAGAACGACAATAAAAACAAACTATTTTATAATATTGTTCATAAAACAAATAAATTAACAAAATGCTTTGTGTTATACACAAAATTGCTAGAAAACACTAGCGCTCTGTATAAACAATAAAATATAATTCATATAACTAACTAGAGCACACGTCATGCGTGCACTTACATCCTTAACAGTATGAACTATGAACTGGTCCCTTCAACCGCGTGTATCATGTTTAGAACACAATACATTGTATAAAACATCTTAAACTACTTGAGCCTGTGGAAGACAGTCTTTGGATTGAGCAAGAGTATCTACAGCCTTAAACATTAATAAACCTTACTATAAGAATATATAAAAATACAATATCGTGGAAGCTCTCTCTACTGTAACCGTCGACAGCATCTGTCCTCTCGTCTTCGATACAAATAATATGTTAGTTAGTTATTTCGTTGGATGTTTTTCCTACATGTTCCGTAGTCGGGGCACGGTGAGTTTGTCTCTGATACACCTGAGTGTGTCCAGCTTGGCGGGTGAGCTCGGCACCAGCTGCTCCTCGTGAGGGGGAGGTCTGGCGGGGGGCAGGCGGGCGCGGGGCGGAGGGTGCGGGTGAGACTTGACGTGCTTCCTCAGAGACGAGGGGTCCGTGTAGCGCTTGTTACAACCCGCGGCGCCGCACGCGTACGGTCTCTGGATAACAACAACGATCCTTGTTTAAACAATAGCCCTATATTATATTATTCAGAGACTAAAAATGAATGCATTTCATAATAATGTGAAATTCCCGCAATATTCATGTTATTACATATGTTATAGAGTAATTATTTATTTAAATAATAAAGGCAAGATCTGGGAGATTGATATATGTTTAAAGAAGTTGACTATTATTTGAAAAAGAGTCTTGATCCAAAAATAAATACTGTCAAAAAACAATTGTGTTCAAAACCGATAAAACAACTCACGGCGTTGAAGTGAGTTCGCTGATGCTTGGCTCGGTCTGATGAATTAGAGAAGGCCTTCCTACAGTGAGGAGCTGGACAGGCGTAGGGGCGCTCGCCCGTGTGAGACCTCACGTGGATCTTGAGGTTCTCCAGGCGAGAGAACGCTTTGCCACAGCCGGGGTGCTGGAGAATAAACACATACAGTTAGCTTGTAAGACGGATATACATAGTTAAAAGTGTCGCTTGTGACAATATAATATCACTAGGTCCATACAAAAGACTGGATGCTACTAACATGACATCTATTAGGCTTGTGTCCCGAGTGTACTCTCATGTGTATGAGCAGCTTGTAACGAGCGTTGAAGGGACGGCGGCTTCGAGCACAGTCCCGCCACAAACAACTGAACTCGTCTCCTGAAAATAATATATACATACAGTTAGAACCTGGAGATGAAGATCTTTAATTGACGAAATATACATATGTAACATATGACAGAAAAATAAGAATGCAGTTAAACAGACGCTGATGACTCAACGTTACATTTTAGCCTATTCAGTCATCACATTTGAATGTGTAGAAATGATTCATTAATACAAAAAAATATATATTAGCATCCTTAACACATGCCCAGCTCAGGACTCTTATGTATGACATGACTTTTATTATAAAACATTTGGAAGGTATGTATGTACGTAGTGTGTGTATGTATTTGATGGGTGGGGTTACCTTTGTAAGTGTTAACGTGTGCGCGCTCTATGTGCTCCACGAGTGTGTTTTGATTTGGATATCTTTCAAAACAGTGCTCCCATAAACAAACCCTTTCGCCTGAAACATAAATAACCATAAATTGATTTATCTTCAGAGATAACAAGTGAAACCTTTAATGTTTGAACTGAGACGTATATATTTATGTATACCTTGAGTCTTCTCCTTGTCATTTCTTTTCTCGGCGTGGTGGCTCTTGTCTCCGTTGTTTCCTTCAGTCTCCGTTTCAAAGGCGAGTCCGAAGTCATCGAGGTTTATGAACAGGTCGTCTTCATCCAAGTTCTCCGAGTTCTCATTATAATAACCAGCGCTGTGCACGTCACTCTCTATTGAATCTGATATCGATACTTTTCTTGAATTTCTGTCAAAATTAAAATCCTGGCAGCTGGTCGGTGTGTCCGGCAGCACGTAGTTCTTTGTGTTGTCCAAGTTGTAAAGTATGTTATTGGGATAACTGTAATGTTCCAAGCTGCTGACCGTCGGTGTGTTTGTGTTCTGGGATGGGTTCGTTTCGTAAACGTTTTGTGTGTTATAACTGTCCGCGTTGTTAAACGCTCCGCATCTCTTGGAGAAGGCGGTCTCTATGGAAGGCAGCTGCGTGTCGTTGTTCAAGATGTTAGTACAGTCGTCGCTGAACACGTCTGGCGTCAGGCGACACGACTCCCCTTCCTCCCTGCAGAGCTCGTCGATGAGACACTCGTCGTCGATGTAGTCGTTCGTTTCGTAGTTGGCTTCACTTCTCTTACTTCCCTCGCATGAAGCTGACTTGAAGCTGTTGTCATCAAACTCGATGGTGTCCAGGTCGAGGAGCACCTCCTTTATGTTTTGTTCGCTCACGTTGTTGTCGATGACTTCGTGTATAATGTCAAAGTCTGTCTTGTTGTTACAGTTCCATCCGTTCCAGTTGTCTACAACTTCAAAGTCGAAGCTCTCCTCGATGCCGAACTTGAAGCCGTCACTCTTGGGTTTTCCTTTCCCGTTCTCTAGTTCCAGGTTGAACTGCGTCATGTAGTACGCGTGTAGGTCGGTGACGTCTCCCCGCTCCTGGAACATGTCGTGGTCGTAGTCCATGAGGTCGTATTCCGTCATGTCTGTAGGGTCATTCGCCTGTGTAAGTTCAGTACTCCCGGGTGCCCGAGGTGGATGTGCTCCAAGTGCTGGTGGCTCGCATATGGTTTGCTATTATTATAAAAATAAACTTTCTCCGTCCAACTCGCGTGGCTCCGGCATCTGTGGATTATAATTTTAATTACTATTATTTTCGCACACGTGTTGAATGCGGTCACCGATAGATGGAAGGAAGTCGCTCGGCTTATATTATAGTGGAGGAGTTCAGTTTGAATTATAATATGTTATAATAAAATGGACTGACAGTAAATAATGTGGAACTTCGTCAACAGGATTATAACTTTTTTGATTTCGATTACAAGTATCACAACCTATGTTAAAAAAAATTATAAAGAGAAGAAAGAACTTGTTTAATCAGTTTTAGATCGAAATAAAAATTGTCATCAAAACTTTTCTGTCATTTCCAAGGGGTTGTAAATATAAAATGTAAAAACAAGAAATATATTAATAAAAAAAAATCAAACAAATTAGTAAAATATATAAAAACTAAATCGAGTAAAATATATAAAAAGTAAACGCATACATGATATCACATTAAAAAATTCAAAATTATTAAATAGTAGGTTTGCAAGGAATAGTATAGTTCGAGTTTGATTATAAAACGAATGAAAGTTTTCCAAACATTCATTACGACAATCATTCAAATACACGGAATAACCAAATTATCTGATACTTAAGAAAACTATGAACCTGCGTTATGAACCAATGAATACTTAAACGATTTATAACATAAATGAAAATATGAATATATACGAAATGAATCGGTTTTAAATTTTAGCAAATATCAAGTACTTTGGACCAATATTAATATTATATTATTCAGCCAAATATAATAAAACCAGCCAAATAACAAATAGTAACCAAATATTCGTTGCATTATATTAAAAACATTTACAATTTCTAATAAGTAGTTTTCAATAAATCAAAGAATAAAAAAATATGTTGTATTAATAATTTGTTCTGAAACACTTACCGGTTGCGGAAAACTGTGAAATTTCACAAAATAATAAACCAGATTAACGTGTTTCTGTTTGAGTGACACTTGGGCAGGAGCAGTGAGGAGACGAGCGGTTGGTTGAGGAGGACTCACGGGAATAACAGGAGCTGACAGGAACATACACTCACTGGAGACACATGTGCTACGAACACACCATGTAGATATGACATAAACACGACTTTATTACTATTATAATAAGGTTGGAGATGCGAACGAAATATTGAAATTTAAGTTTAAAAAATTTACTACCTTTTGGCGCCATAACTGTTCAATTATTAAATTTTTTAGATGAACATTCTTAATATAATTTACTGTCTAACAGTCTACCTGATTTTTTCTACCAAACTAATGTCAGGAGATGAACACGTTAAGATTTATTATTTGTAAACCGTAACTTAAAACACTTTATTTTATTTTGCTGCGAGTCGCTTTATTACAATTTTAATCGTTGGTAACCAAGTTTAACAGAGGTGTTGTTTCAGTGATATAACCTGTATTACATCATATAAATATACATTATAAGTATAGTAAAGATTTTTAACTAGTTTTAAGTTCTGTTAGTTGTTTTATAATATCTTGTCTTATAATATCAGTATATCGGTAGTATGTCAACATCATCTATATTTTAATTTTTTCCTCATAGAGTTGTTTCCAGTCAAGTCATTCTACGATTAATTCTTCTGAAGACTGTACCTGAGATACCTGTATAGATGCCTTCAGCAATTAAGCCTTTATTCAAACCAACATCTGGAACAGTGATTACAAGTAATAATTCAGACTATGAGATATTTTTTAACATATTTTAGAGTTTATATCAAATATCTCTCATCAAATTAACAAATTGTATTTAATCTTCCGTCTCTTTTAGACACATTTCTTGTATAATGTGTAGTTTTCTCTTCCTATTTTCAAATGCTTGTTTAAGGTAAATTTATTTTAATGACTTACTAAGTGTGATATCTATATATATAAAAGAAAGTCGTGTTAGTTACTCCACTTATAACTCGAGAACGGCTGAACCGATTTAGCTGAAAATTGGCAGGGAGGTAGTTTAGAGCCAGGAAAATGCAATAGGACTTTTTATCCCGTTCAACATTCCCGTGGGACTTGACATGAAACGTCAGTCACTATAAAACGTGGAATAACGAAACACAATTGACAGCTATGCAATTGACGTATAATGATAGATATTTAATTTAGTATTTGCGGGATAAATTTAGAAAATCATTGTTTTTCACATGGGCAGTTATAGCTTGTGTGTGTTGGGAAACCATCCGGTTTATTTGTGTTAAAGTTAGACCAAAAAACAAAAAGTGTGGTTTACAAAGGAGCACTTCAATGAAACGGATAATTTGCGGACACGTATAACGCTTCGATTCGGTATCTACTTTCATTTACTTAGAGAAGTTCAACTAAATAACAATTCATTTTTGTAATCTAAATGAATTCATTATTGTTGTGACATGAAATAAAAATTTTCCTTTTCAAATATAAAACAAAAGAAAAATTTCTTCATCTTTTAATCACCAAACGAAATATTACATAAAACAAAGCCTTCTGGAGGCGAAACAGAGTTCGCCAGGTTTACTAGTTTAAAATAATTAATTGTCACTTAAACTAATTTTTCCCTTTCATTTCGGTATAATGAATAGTTAGTGACGAAGAATATATTTTAAAAATAGAAACCGAATTTATTGATCCTGGTGTTAATAGGGTAAATTAGATTTATTTATACCTTTATTAAATAAAACAAACACACACTAAGAAAAAGTTTTAAAATTGGATGATTGGTATTACTCCAGTAATACATTACGGGCCACGGAGTGGTTAACTTCTTATAAGAGCCGACTGTTGAGGAAAGGCCTCTTTTCCAAGGCAATAAGCGTTACAATTAAATTTAAAAATATAGTAAAGAAAATTATTGCAAAAGTTTATTATTAATTGAATTATTTCAAAGAAATTCCCAACAACTGACTACACGAATAAAATGATTCGTATATTCAAAAGGTATCTTCATCGTTTATTATTAGTATTTTTTTACAAAGCTTAAGTGTTGGTTGTAAGAAAGTCTTGGTTGGAAGAAAAAGGTTTAAATTTTTATAATTCGTAATTAATTAAACGAGATATTGTATTAAGAGAAATAATGATATGCCTAATTATTTACTATAATTGCGGAAGGAATGACAATTTTGTTTGTCGTTTTTAAAATACAAATAAATATAAAACAATGTGTAGGCATCAAAATATTCAAGGAACAAGTTACTCTGATTGATATTTTTTAATATTAGTATAACATCAAATTTAATTGTTTTAAAACTGCTGCTGGTTCTATTAACAAAATATATTTATAATTTCACGTGTGACATGTAACATAACAAACAAACACAGTAACGATCCACTAACATGGATAATAAAGTCATTTCTTGTAATAAAATACACAAAAACTGGAAGAAGCTTAAGAAACATTTTATTTCAGCATCATAATGATTTAAGTGAGTTGTAAAAAGTTTTTTGAAAACAAACTTTTTCCATCAATAATTGGTGCGCGCCTTTATGTGTTAGAGTGAAGGAGACAAACACACAAACACGTGTCCCACGAAAAAAACATCATTCCTATTTAGTTTTTTTTGTTTTTTGTTGTAACTGTTGACGTCGTCATGAGTCGTCAGGGATAGTTGTTTACAGATCGATGTTAGTGTCTTATTAACATATACAGATAATGATTATTATAATTAATACCGAATGATAACAAATCTTAAATTAATGATTTTTATTGATACTTTATGTAATATCGTAGATAGGTATATGCCGCTAATTTGTGGTCAAATTTTGTTTTGATGTTAACTAAAACTTTTAAAACATTATTCATTAAGTTACCACTAATAGCTTGTTAACAAGGCGACATCAGAAGAAGGAGGTTCACAATTATTATAGTTTGTTTGTTTGTCTGACACTCCATATTAATTAGTAACAGTCACATACATTATGTAATTTTCTAATCTGTTATTGTTAAGGTCAACATTTTATTTCAATAATCAGTGAATAAGATGTATTTGAAACCTATTTACTATTAAAGCTCCATCTTTATGCATATTGTTCTATATTTTGAGGTATACCCAACCTCACATTACTACATACATTCTATATATTTTGTTTTTCTTTTCAATATCATCTAATAATCGTCGTTTCATCAACGTATCTCTATTTTGTATAATCTAAGTGTCGTCGGTACATACAAGATGTCAATACAATGTTGTAATCAGTAAGTTCGTTCTCCTGTTTATAGCTGATCATCTCCAACACGTGTACTCTGTATCTGTAACACAAGTCAAGGATATACAAATAATTAAATCTATTTACTAAACAAATCTCACTAACTTCACAAACTACCGATCACCTCAGAATATATGAAACACAATCAATCTTTAAAAATTTATTTTGATTTTTTTATGGAAATATATATTACATTATATTAAAATAATTTTAAATGGAGTCGTGGTGGTCTAGTGGTTAAAGGCCCGCCTCTCGTGCATGAGGGTGACGAGTTCGAAACCTATAAAGTACCAATGTGATTTTTCTGAGTCATATGTACTTCTAAGAGTATTAAGACACCACTGACAGACGGTGAAGGAAAACATCGTGAGGAAACCTGGACTTATAATTTCTAATTATAAGTTTGAAATCGCCAGCCTTTCTTGAACAAGTGTGATGATTAACGCTCTAACCTTCTCCATGTGAGAAAGAGGCCTTTGCTCGGCAGTGGGCTCTGATAGGCTGATGATGAATTTTAAATAAATATTTTAAGGAGTTAGACTAATTAATTCAATTCATACACGTGAATACTTTGGTCCCTCGTAGCTCATTAAGTTCAATGTAAACTAACTAAAGTAAATTCATATTTTTGTTATGTTTATAATAGTTTTAATAAAAACATCTTTAATGTAATGTTCGTCCATAAAGTACACATGTTATTGTTTAATATCAATAGCAGCGTCCGAGAACAAACAAGAGCAAAACGAGAGAGAGTGAGGATGCATCTCGTGCGGCGGAGGGAACTCTCACAACGACTGACTTACCAATAATATAAAGTTATACTTTAGGTTCTTAAATTAACTAATTCGAGTAAATAATACGATCAAGTATATATGTTATGAGATCTAAAGATATTAAGACTTTCGCGATTATTCATTCTAGTGTATCTATTGGTTTCGTTTTAATTTCTCTGTTATTCTTTAGTATGAGGCATTGTAAGGCATCAGTTTGTAACAATCGTTATTGACTGTACCGTGTGTCACCCAGTGAGTGTGTGAAGACCCCGGCTCGTGTCAGCCGTGTGTATGCCACGTGTACATACATACATAACATACAATATATATAATACATATATACAACATAAATAATTAAATAAACTACCATGAAACACACTGAGAGATTACTTTCTTGATGACTGCAAAATAACTATATTTATAAGACAAAAACCAGTATTTATAATAACTATTAAGTATTAATACTCTTATATAAAAATTGTATTGATTTAATAAAAAAAAACTACGTTATTTTGTTATATTATATTTTATTTAAATATGGCGTTGTTTCAAATGTACATATCTAACAATAAAGAATCCGCAATATATTTAAGTACCAGAACTAACAAATGATTTCTAATATTTATTTCTGTTCTTGTATTTTTATTTCATTGTTATTGCTCCAAGTAGGAAAACTGTTACAAAAATTATGCCTAGACATTTTAAAGCTTTTCGCATGACAAAAGGTGAACCGACTGTCAACAAGAAGTAATCTCACAGAGATATAAAAAAATATTAAAATATTGGAGGGAGAAGTCAGGGTACAAGATATACATGTGTGAAGTTGAGTTTCACATAGAAAAGTTAAATATACGAAAAGTATATTTTAGAATTAAATCTCTTATATTACATCTACACACCATCTACATATTATGAAAAATAACAAATGAACTGAGTCCCGCCATATCATTGTTTCATATTTTCAATACTTTTTATAATATTTACGTCATTAGTAATAATTACGAAATTTAGTTAATGTGTATACAGTAGGACCTCGATTATCCGGACTAATTGTTGTCGGTAGGCATCCGGATA